TGTCAGTATTTAATACCAAATCAGAAAGGAACTCTGAAAACTCATCTAAAAATTCAGAGTAAGGACCTGGTGGACGATACAAAGTTACAAAAAGAAGAGGTTTTCTTGCCTTGAAATTTGGATCAGGGAAATTAAGGGTTAAATGTTCAAAAGAGTTGTAGGTATTAATTGTTTTGGGAGTAATCAGTAAGTCAGACTGGAAGATTGTTGCTACTCCTCCTCCTCGCCCAGAACTTCTGGGTATGTGAAAATTTAAATAGCTTGAAGGAGTTGCCTCATTTATGCTCACATAATCCTCTTGCTGCAGCCAGGTTTCTGTAAGGCAAAACAAGTCAATGTGATTATCACAAATCAAGTCATTAACTAGTAGACTTTTAGAGGAAAGCGATCTTATGTTAAACAGACCGCATTTAATTGTTTTAACTTTTTCCCCAATTGGAGTTATTTTGATTTTAATTAGATTATCATGATTTACTCCTTTGGGAATCTTTGCTAATTTATTAGATTTTGGTCGTGGGCAAGACATGGTCTGGATGGAGTAAAGAGTGGGTAACAGTAGAGAAGCGGCAGAGATGTGTGTTAAACTACAACTCTGCTTCCTGGTCTGCACCCTGGGTGGTCAGGGTTTTGGAGGACTAATAAATGTGGCCAGATTTTGATGTTTATTTTATTTTTAAATAAGAATGTAATTAAAGAATTTGATTTAAGAGAAGGAAACTGTAGCATTAACCTTTATAGCAACTAAATCTTTCTTGAGAATTACTATGATTATCTTATTAACAATATTATATGTATTCTTTAGTTTCCAACAATTATTTAGGTCTCGATTTTTATATAGATTATAAATTGTATTTCCTTGTTTAGACCTAATAATAGATCTGGTGTTTTTAGACAGTTGAATAGAATAGAATAGAATAGAATAGAATAGAATAGAATAGAATAGAATAGAATAGAATAGAATAGAATAGAATAGAATAGACTGCTTTCGTTGATTAGACTTTTTTTTTATATTCCCCCCTGCAATTTTTTCCACTAATTGAAATGTCTTTAAATACACATGAATTCAACACACTGAAGTAAACAGATAAATGGAGGCAGATGTCTCTCATTTATCAATGCACACATTCAGCGACACACAGGAGCTCTTTCAAGCTGGCCACCGTTTTATTCACAACACCTGACCCATCAACGAGGAATCAGAATCAGAAATACTTTAATAATCCCAGGGAGAAATTACTTTCATTACATTACTCCATCTGTAATAGAGTGACTATAGGACCAGTTTGATATAACACAATTTCATACAATATATATAACTAGGGGGTCCCTGCTCCATCTCGCCATCAGTTTAGGGGTCCTTTGCCTGGAAAATATTGAAGACCCCTGGAATAGAGAGTTCTGTCATGATTTTCATTTTGATTCAGTGCTCCATAGAACAGGATCCTAAAGCCTCTGATGCCAGCATATTTATTAAGACTTGAAAAAGTTGGGCTTTACTTTTTTTTTTGGAGTCTATTGTTGTTTGTCCTCCAAAATGGCCACTCAAAGAGGGTCCTGCTGCAGTTCTCTTCTTAAAGGGGGGTTGTTATTTTCCACTGTCATCACGTACTTGGTCAGTATGAGAGATTGATGCATAGCCACTGCCTTTTTGTCATTTTGCATACACTCTGTGCATGCACTCTGTGCACGCAAAATGACAATGAACATTGTCTAATTCTAAGTCTAATGCAAGCAAATGCCTGCAGTATTTTGCATGCTCCTTCAAGAGGATAGGCTGCTGCAATCAGCTCTTTTTCTAAATCACAAGAATATACTAAAACTGAATGCAGTGTATGATGACTAGAATCAAAGTGGATTTTATCTAGTTTTGGAGGTTGGATGGATGTTTTAAATAAAACAATATCACATCTGTTTTCTTTTGCAATGTGTCTTGTGATTACATTATTCGTAAATTGGCATTAAATAATAAACGGATATGAAAGAGGCAAATCCTTTCATATGCAAATGTTTTCGCCTTAATCCAAATAACTCATCAACATTAATCAAACCACCTGTTCTCTAAAATGAGTCCACTCCTACTTTCTGGGATGTAGTTTCTCTGATGTCGATCTGATGTTAAGGGCTTGCATCAAATGATGTCTCTAGATGTTTATATAAAATGGACTGTACATATTGCAGTATTTTGCTTCACACAAGGTGCCAGAATGTTCAGGAAAGCTTCAATGAAAAGCCCTTCCAAGTTAAATTCCCTGAGATTCAGCCCCCAATGTACCCAAAACCAGGAAAGGCCCCTGATGGCACAGACTGAATGTCAGCCCTGCTTCTGTCAGTGTTCCCCAGGGCTGTGGGGTGTAGCTTACCACTATCAGTGTGTCCATGAATGACTGAATGTAGAGTGAAGGGCTTTGAGAGTTTTGGACTCTGTAAAGCGCTCTATGCGTAAAGGCCAATTACCATTAGAACCAGTTGAACAGCTCATTTGAACTTGAAGTTTTAATGTAAAAGGCTTTTAAATGTTTTAAGGTGATCATTTAGATCTTACTTTGGTCCAGTTTTACTTAAAGGGTCAACTGACCGTTTCTTAATTCTGGAGCACATTTCCTAATTTCCTATGTGTTTAATTTATTGCAGAAAACATTAGAATCCTCTGCCATGTACAGGATTGAATAAAGTCCACAACATTTGATAGGTCGGTCTTCTGGAAGAAGTTCTGCAACCTGTTGAGGTAAGGGAGGAACCAAAGAGGACAGAGAAAGATGTGACCACAGCTACAATAATAATAATACATTGGATTTGCAATGCACTTTATATTTATACAAATCCCAAAAATGCTATATAGTAAATCAAGTAAAAAAAGATTAAATAAACAGACAATAAGTAAAACGGCAAGAGTTGATCTAAAAGCTCTCCTAAAAAGGTGGGTTATAAGGCCATGTTTAAAAGCATCCACAGGCTGTGGGGTCCTCATGTGGTCTGGGAGAGGATTCCACAGTCTGGGAGCAGCTGAGCAGAAAGCCCGATCTCCCATTGCACTTTTCTTTGTCCTTGGTGGTTTCAGCAGATATGTTGAGGTAGATCGGTGGGTGCGTGTTGAGGTCTGTGGAGTGAGAAGTTGCTTGAGGTATGGTGGGACTTCACCATGGATGCACTGGTGGGTAAAGAGGGAGACTTTATGCTCAGTTCTGAGTGGAACAGACAGTGAAGTGAATTGAGTATGGTGGTGATGTGGTCAAGTTAGCGCACCCTCATCAGGATCCAAACAGCGCTGTTTTATATCTACTGCAGATTCTGAAAGCTTTTCTCAAGGGTCCAATAAGCAATCTCCCAAGACTAACCTAACCCTCACTTTACTCCATATGACCCCTCTGGCCCCACTATAGTCCTCTCTCATGGATTTCAGTGAGGAGAGTTGATTAAAAACAAATCAAATTTCTGCATAAATATGAGTGAGTACATAGATAAGCCTAACAGAACACCAAAGCTTTCATTTAAGGGCCAATATCTGCTTTCTTAATATTTAGGTTAACAGGATGTTTCAGTGTTTCCAGTTTTTTGCTTTGACTTCGTTTTATTGTGTTTAAAATCACAACATTGGATACTAGTTAAAATCGTAATTCTCAGATTTCCACATCCATAATATAAAAGTGAATATTAAAGGTAATGAGGATGATCCTTTATTTCTGGGTGGATCATCTACATAAGTGGTCCTCCTAATTGTCATTCTGGTGACATGTTTACGTAAGGCCGTCCTACATGGTGGTCCAGTTAGCTATCTTTTTCTACGCAAGTCTCTACGAAGTGTAAGAAAATAAAAGAAAGACCTCAAAAGAGGCAAATATATCCAAGAATGTTTTGCATGAAGAGCTCTCCTTGCAAAGCATGATGGGATTTGCTGTTACAGCGACCCGCTGTCGCCATAGGCTGTCACTACCAGAGAGCAGCGACTATTAACAAAGCTGGCACAGGCACCACGCGGGGGAGGAGGAGTTACTTGACCAGTGAAGCAAAAAGCAGTGATCATCTGTCCGAACAGTAAGTTCAATCTGAAAAACTCACACGAAGTCCACTATATAATCCACGCTCTTTAATAGTGATTGAGGGATTTAGGGGTTAGAGCAGAAGGCAATAGTTACACAGGTTTGGGTAGAAAGTAGTTGTTAGTTACACCATTATTAAGTTACAAATTTATTACATTATTGATAAGATTGGATAATCAGATTAAATTTACTTTTAGAAGTATTCCTGGTTAAACTTGTGTCGAATCTCATTATATTATGTTTAAAAATGAAGCAGCTTAGGATAATAAATATTTTTCTCTCATCTCGGGGATAAGTCTTCAAAGCATTTTTAGTGTGATGGTGATGTTGCTGGGTCCTCTTTGTGGAGTTCGATCTCCATTGGTCATCTTCCTTTATACACCGGCATTGAGGTCCAGGCCAGACATCTTCCTCCTGAAGTCAGTGATCATCTCTTTGGTAGTTTTGTTTGATGCCCAAGTTATCATTATCACATCAAACCACCATCCTGTTTACCTTATCTATATATTCTGTCCTGTCACCCCCGAAGATGAGCCTAACCATAGTGGTGTTGTTAAGGTGGCTGCCAACATAATCTGGTGTTAGGGCTTGATAGAGCTAAAAGTTAAACACATTTTAACCAAAGCTTTGTCCATCCAGAATTAAAGTCAGTCAGTAGGGTTAAAGGAAGAGGGAAAGACAAAAAAGATTCCAAAGATGATAGATGTTAAGACTTCCTTCATTGGGAAAGAAATGTAAATATCAGCACATAAGCTGGAGGCAGACATGGGCAATGTGGAGTCAACAAGTCATCTCCATGTCATGTATTTGTTCTACTCAGCCACTGAAGCAGGTGAGTCCAATCTTCACCATGAATTAACCTGTGCAGATGGGACTCACCTGGTTAATTGGCTGGGTAGATTAAATACATGACATGGAGATGACTTGTTGACTCCACATTGCCCATGTCTGGCTGGAGGTGCATACATGAGATATGCATGGGGCTATATACAGTGCTATCCTTGTGTAAACCTGTTAAGAGCTGCAAACCATTTAAAAGTTTAGTGAAAGGTTAACCCTCCAGGATAATAATGTCCCTTTACACTGCAGCTCTAGCAACAAAAATTGTTTAAACAAGAGGTTAGAAAATAATTACAGAAATATCCTGTTACAATCCGGCAATGATTCATAGGCATTCCCAACCCTACTAACTTACTAAAATAACTTTGAGTTATTTTGCAAAGAAGAATAAGCCCAGATTTTTGTTTTTAGATGAGCAAAGCTAGTAGAGATATACTCCAAAAAAATTAAGAAGTCGTTCTACAAAGAACACTGTACACATGCATTAAGCACCTTTTGGATAAATTGTTAAAAATCTACAAACAAACAAATCTTATCCATGCATTATGTTTGTACTTCATAACCCCTTTTGTTGGTCTGTCACATAAAATCACAACAAAATACAGGCTGTTGTATCTTGGTCCTTGTAACTTTATAGTGTAAAACTGGTTAAAATGATATGGAGTATGTTAAATTAATTGTAGATATAATCCAGGGTATTTTCACAAGTACAAAATCTGGTGATGCAAACATTTTTTGCCCATAGTTAATTTAACTAAACATCAATCCATCTTCTCCCGCTTAGTCCTCATCAGGGGATACACCCTGGACAGGTAGCCAGTCACACATCTAGGGACAATTTAGAGGAGCCAATCAATTTTGGACTGGGGAAGGAAGCCGGAGTACCAAGAGAGAACTCACACATGCACAGAGAGAACATGCAAACTCCATGCAGAAATCAAACCCAGGAATCAAACCCAGAACTTTCTTGCACAGGGAAACAGCGCTACAATCTGCACCACCGTTTAGCCGTGAAAGCTTGTTCTCTAAATACAATTCATAAGTTATTATAGTTGAAAATGAATAACTTCACAACTATATCATAAAATGATCTTCTAATGACCTTTTTTTAGTTTATTTTCTATAAATTTGCTGGGGATTGGGAATTTGTTTTTCAGCGAAAGGGTGGAGTTAACCTGCTCAGCTGACAGCAGGCTGTGCCACTGAGCAACCGGACGACGGGGGTTGGACAGCATGTCAGCCCAGTGCCTCAGTTGATTTCCTGTGGAATCGCAGCCGAGGAAAACCTTTCCCATGGGATCATTCCTGCTAATGGCATCATGGTCCCACACAGAGATCACCAGGTTCGCCCTCTGAGCACAGTGGACAAAAATAACACAACACCATCAGGGATGAAAAATCACATGGGATGTATTGCTGCTTCAATACTGATACTGCCTTTGGCCACTATCTTTACAAAAAACACTTCACCTGGATTAACGAGGATCAGACTGGGTCTGTGTATGGCAGCCTCTCTGTGGTCAGTGTACCTCAGGGCAGCCATGAATGTTGTGTAAAGTACAGTTGGCCGATAAGGGCTCAGCAGCAATGATCCATACTTTCTTCTGATTTTGTCCGGTGTATGAAGGCCAGATCAGGTAAAGGATTTCTCATAATCTACTATGATTAGCTCTGTAGTTTAATCATAGATCCTTACTTTCAACTCCCAGTCAGTCTCAGCAGAAGGCCGCTCACAACGAGCCCAGTTCTGTTGAAGGTTTCTTCCTGTTAAATAGGTATTTTTTCTCTGCAGTGTCACTGCATGCATGCTCAGTGTGAGGTATTGCTGCAGAGTCATTGAGACAATGCAACCAAATGTCTGCTGTCGCCAAATGCTCCTCTAGGAGGAGCAAATCCTGTAAAGTCAGTGAACTCACTTCATTCAATCAGCTGAATTACCAATCTGACAGGATGATTTAGTTGAATTTACACTGCAAAGCACCTTCAGATTACATGAGTTCTATACGGTGCTGCATAAATAAAATTGAACTGATTTATCTTTGCTGAGTTCCAGTCATGTTTTTGCTTATATTCTGCCACATCAACAAGTTCTATTTACCACAGAACTGGGAGCTCATATTCTCCACTGATTGCTCAGGACTGCCAAGGCCACCGTTACAACAAACTGACTGGGCATCATCCCTGAACGTATGTTTTTAAAAGCTATATAACCTGACCCTGTGTTTGAAGGTGTTTCTTCTTGTTTGATGAAAAAAGCTTCTTTCCTTCCTCTCTTTTTATCATTGCATCATCTCTTATTATAATATAAAATTTTAAATCCTCGATGGTGTCTCTAATCATAGTAGGTGCACAGCTGAGTATTGTCTTGAAGAGGTGGCTCTCCTGTGTTAAGCATGGATTAGCTTTACTCCATATAACAACCTGGAGATTCCGCGCTGCCCTGATCTATATTAACATCTCCACTAAGATGACTGGATGGATGAATTGTAGATTTCTCACCTCTATTTGATCCAATGACACATCAAATGTAAAAGACTCGTTGAAATAGGGGTTCAGTGTTTTCTTTTTAACGGATGTCATTCTTTTCTGCCACTTCCTCTTGTCCAAAGCCAGCTGTACTTTCACATATGGATCTACAAGCAAAACCAAATAGAAGAAAATCAAAGTGTTTCTGGAATTAGAAATGTCTTCAGATTTCATGAATGGACTAGCTGGATTGCTAAGACATAAATTGACTTGGTTTTGAAATTGATTTTCTTAACTCTGTAAATTGCTGTTCAAGTGCTTTAAGTGCTGCTGTTTAAACATGCTCCATAAAGTGTTCTTCTAAAATCCAAAAACAGAGCTTTAGCTGACTAATCATACATTGTTATAGGATTACCAGCTTTTTCAGTCTTACCTGAGCTTCCTCCTATGTCCATGCTCTTCAGCTCTTTGGCCTCCAGGATTACGACGCTGAGCTTGCTGGTTGTTGGAACATAGCAGAGGGAGAAGCAGATCTCTCCTAAACTTTCTTCCTGAAACAAAAATAAGTCATACTAAAGATATGCAGGATGGCTTACAGGTTTAAGTTACACTTAGGTTGGCTTAAATGCTATCCGTCATCTATCCATCCATCCATCCATCCATCCAGTCATCATCCATCCATCCATCAACCCACCCATCCTTCATTCATCCATCCATCCATCCATCCATCCATCCATCCATCCACCCATCCATCATTCATCAATCCAACCTACATGCATCATCCATCCATCCATCCATCCACCCTCTAAGGCTTGCTTTCTTACTTATCTTTTCTTGTATTCTGATTATGATGCTTTTTTTTGTTCTGTTCCGTGAATCATTTCCTTTAGGTAGAGATTCTGTTATTTGTGTGTTTTACATAGAATCCATTCTAGTTATCGCAGTTTCCTATTGGCTTCATGGCACTGCAGCATGACAGAATCTCCTACTCCATCAGAAATAGTCTATTCTTTAATGGATGAAAAAACAACCAATTACATACACCTGCAGGAGCAGGTGTATGTAATTGCAGCTTGCAGCAGAGGGTGGCAGTTTAAATATCTGAGGCTTGATCAGAGTCCGAAGAACAGGCTTTGTCATGCAGGGTAAAGCTAGACAAGGCAGATAGAACTGGTACGGTTTAGGAGAGATTGCGATCATGTTTTCAACAGAGTTGTGTGTAAAAAAAAAAAAAAAGAAAAAAGAAAAAGAAAAAAGGCCAGTGTGAGGAGTCAGACAACGGTAAGGTGAGAGTGGCTAAATCCAAGAAGTGAGAACTTTGTCGTGATCAAACAAGAACCCAGGCAGAAAAAGTTGGACAAGTACCCATCTAAACTTTTAAAACCTGGCATTGACTGTCTGACAGAGATGGGAAGTAACGAAGTACAAATACTTCATTACTGTACTCAAGTAGATTTTTCTGATATTTTTACTTTACTTTACTACTTATTTTTATGGCGACTTTTTACTTCTACTCCTTACATTTTTACATGAATATCTGTACTTTCTACTCCTTACATTTAAAAAAATTGGCTCGTTACTTTAGTTTTGAATCATTTCAATGGAGTTACCGTTATTATTTTTCACGTCATCAATACCAAATTCAATCTAATTGGATGGGAATCTACGTTGCATTTGACGCACCACTACAAGATGAATCGACAGATTCGGCGGTATTCATTCGCGGCAAATCATTGCAGCTTGGTGGCGGTGGCGTTAGCATAGTAGCATGGACGACGAGATGATTGAAAATGAACACAACGGAGATCTAGTCCTATTGGCAGACATCCATTTAAAATGTAGGCAACGGCATGAAAAAAGTGGTTTCTGCTTTTACTTTTATACTTTAAGTAAATTTACAAGCCTGTACTTTTTTACTTTTACTTGAGTAAAGAAGTTTAATCAGTACTTCCACTTTTACCAGAGTATTTTTTTTAACACAAGTATCTGTACTTTTACTCAAGTACGGAAAGTGAGTACTTTAGCCATCGCTGCTGTCTGAAAAGAGAAGCAGTATATAGATTTTATATTGCTGCCATGGAGGGTGCATCGGATGGTTATTGGCTAAATTCACTCTGTACATCTTGATGTGCCCTTTGACAAGGCACCTAATCCCAAATATTTTACAAATTTGAATACTGTTCTGTAAGGAATATGTGTGCAGCTCGCTCAATTTGTATTCTAGAAATGAATAGAAAACTATACTACCTATAGAACATTCCTATTTGACCTCAATGGTGGCAATCAAATTTTTAGAAAGAGAAAGTAAGAAAGTTAAACCTCAAACTTTGCTGGCTTTGCCAAGTCTTGCCACTCTTCAATAACATGGTTCCAGTCGATGCTGCAAAGCTGCACTCTGAGCTCACCGATAAGCCCATGTTTGGTGAAGCGATTAAAGTCAAACACCTTCATTACTACTGTGGACTTCTGAAGGGAGGACTTGGATAGCTGAAAAACATATACTATATATATTAGGCAAACATTTGATTACATGAAAAAAACATTAAATTTTTACTACTTTAATGAGTTATAGCATCAGCTATAATAATATCTTATGATTATGGATATAGCTGTGTATATGGTTTTCTATACTTTAAACTCTTTCTTACTGACTAAACTATTGACATGTATTACTGATAACACACAGGCACATATACAGCTAAACTCAAAATGTATGCATCTTAGATTTAAATTTATTTTTGTTCAATTGAGAGGCTTATCATTCCAACTTAAAACTCCTGAAATGTTAATGTATCACAGCAATTCTCTATGGAACAGTGGGTCAAAGATTTTTAACAGCAAAATGAAATATGCATTGCCAGTTTTCACAGATGCTCGGTGTCAGTTTCTTCTAAGCTACCAGTTTATAGAAAAAAAAAATTTCCCCATTGGGTTATTTGTACAAATGTGGTCACTATAAATGTTCCTACTGCTATTTTTTAACAAGATAAACATTTACAATAAGATTAGCATAGCAAATTCCCTTGAACTGAGTTAATATTAGAATCAAACATTAATGGATTCCAATATTATACAAGTTTCGTGAATTTTCTTCTGTCAAAATTGGAAACTAGTTCATGCATTTGTTACTTATGGGCTGGACTATTGTCATTGTTTACTATTAAAAAATTCACAAACTGTAATTAAAAGCCTTCAATTGATCCAAAATGCTGCAGCCAGAGTTCTGATAAAAATTTAAAACAGAGATCATATTTCTCTTCTTTTAGTCTTCATGTTTTCTATTCATGTTAAATCCAGAATAGAATCTAAAATTCTCCTTCTCTATAAAGCCTTTAATAACTAATCTCCATCTCATATCATAGATCTGATCCTCAAGAGGATATTTGTAATGATTTGGCCATAAATAAACTGAATTTTTCATTTAGAATGGATAATGCCTGGTCACTTTGTAAGTACATAGCTGTTGGCTAGGAAATTAAGATCAGTGTCCAAGATCTCAGACAGTGTTTTAATTAAAATATGCAGACTTTAGATGCCTATATTCAGGGTAGTTTTGGTGTTTAGGATAATAAAAATGAGAATGTGTCTATCAAATTATTCAGGGCTAGGTGATAGTGATAAAACTCTATTGTTGATATGTGAATTCCACTCTGATATAAAGATTTAGAGCTGTCAATGATTTTATTGACAAACCTTTCTGATTCTTTGTTCCTCATGTATCAGTGTGAAATATTCTCTCTCAGTTTGTTATAATAGGAGCCTTTAACCACATTAGACTTCCACTGGGATAAAATATGTAGAATATAAAATTGGGGGATTTTTTGTTCCCAAGGCAATGAAAAGGTATTTAAAAAAAACAACCATCTACCTTGAAAGTGAACTGCTCATTGAAGAAAGGGTTGAGTGTGTTTTTGAAAACTTTAGTCTCAAAAACCTTGGACTTTTCAGGGAGGATGTAGACTTTTACATATGGATCAGAGCTCTTTCCCAAATCCATTGCCTTTAAAATGCCAGCTTGTTTGATCCCCACTGTAAGCTGTAATACAACAAAACACAAGATTAATTTGTGAATTTTATCACTGCTACAAGGCTCACAGAAAATCATTGTTCAACTATAAGTTCATTTACAGGACAGTACATGTGAAACGGTGATGGAAACTAAATCTTGCAGTATAACACATAACCAAAATGCCATGAAAATGAGGGTGCAGTGACAGTTTTATTTAGTAGAGATCAACCTTAAGCACAGATGCATTACATTTAAATACCTCCGACAAAGATGCATTGTACTCCAAAGAGTAGAGCAACTTTCCCCTATATTGTTCTGTTGTACCATAGCCGATACCCCTGATGTCTGGCTGAACCTTCAGAGAAACACAATAAGAATATCAGGTTAGAATAAGTCAGCTAAAACTTTAAAGGTCACATAAATCTATGTGGTTTAATTAGTCATTGCGGTATAAAATGGATGGTTCCATAGCTATTCAGTAAAGAGAAAGGGTCATATTCTGGTTGCTCCATGTTATGGAAAGAAGTTTTAGACTCCATCAAAGTCTGCAATCAAAACTACATTTTCTTGTGAGCCTATTGAAAGCCCCAATCTCACCTACCAAATGCTCGGGTTTGCCTGTTTCACTGATGTCACTGGATTGGATGGAGGTTGATGCATCATGTTTGCACTGGTTAATTTATGGGGACTTCATCAACAATTCAGGGTTAATTTTTAATTTGGTTCAGCCACTGAGTGTTCATGGGCACAGAGGCACAAGAGCACTGGTATGCTGGCACTGCCATCTCAGTACTTAGCAGAGGTGTTATTTATAAAAGGGCCTGAAACTGGCATTTTTTGATTTCCATGCAAATGTTGTGATGTATAAAATATTTAATTTGACAGGAGAATGTACAGACTCTCTCTCAAACTGTAACTCATGCGTACAATTGTTATAAAAATGGGGGGAAACTGCAGCACAGATGGTAAAGTGAGGAATTGAAGCCACACTGATTATAATTTCTTTCAGGCATTCAATTTCCCTCTATATCAAACTCTAATAAGAGATTGACTTTATCTTAAGGATTTAACATAGCATTATTTACGCTTACACTGTTGAGTCTAAGGACGTTTTTCTTAAACAGGCTATAGGCAAACAAGAATGCAGTTTTTGCACCCTAACATTCCCACCCAGATGGGACAGGATGATGTTTACTATAGATTAACAAATTAATGATGAAAAGGAGTAAGGCCATCCCACTGATTCCTGTAAAGGATTTAGATACCATTTTATGATGTATGCGTAATGCTGCTCAATAGATTCACTGACAATTCTGGAATACCTTGATTGAATGATTTTTAAATGGGAATGTGTTCTTAGGGATTGTCACATGCTTGTCAGGAGGCCAAGCAGTCTAGGAGGTGGGACCCAAACTGTACAACCTATTCTCATTATGAGTGCGTATGAAATCGTATGGAAAGTTATGCACCGTAATTTCGTACGTTTTGGACATTTTTTTCGTCGTATGCACATGCGCATCTGACGCACCATTCACGAATATAGAATATAAATTACAATTAGCCCTAACCCTGACCCTAACCCTAAGATATAAAACAGCAAGCAACATAGTTAGAGACATGAATAAGTGATGATTGCACTGTTTTTCCCAGTTTTACGTCCGTCCGCGGATCTGCTTTTTTTTTTCTGTCTGCCAGCGCATGCGCACTGATGTGGTTTTTTGAGGAAAAACGTCCAAAACGTACGAAATAGTGTGCATAACTTTTCGTACGATTTCTTACACACTCATAATGACAATATGTTGAACTGGTTGAAAGAAGAACAGGCTTTGAAGAGTTTTCAGCAGACAAAACTTTAATTTCTTCTTGTGCAGGACATCAACCAAACCACACCAACCAAGAACAATGGCAGACATGTTTCTTAAATAGAGAAGGAACTAAATTTGGAAGAAACCATTTTTAAAAGGCTGTTCAGCTTCACAATAAGAAGAAAAGGACAATTTGGTTTAAACAAACAACTACTTAAGAAATACTTTTACCAATAAATACGGAAACAAATATTTTAATTCAATCCAAACAAATACTCAAACTCAATATAGAAGACACCATACATCAGATCAACCTCCCCCCCTTCAATTATCCAATGGTACAGTGCTGTACACACCTGCTTGGAGAGTGAAACAGCAGAGGTGAGTATTTCAAAATATATTCACTCTTTAAGCCATGAATGTCCCTTTTATGAAGAGTTAAACAAAAACAAAATTTTGTAAAGTGAAATCAATTTACCTTTTTACAAAAATGAAAACAAGATGTGGCCAACCAAAGAACCACAACCCAAACAAATCCACTTCACCCAAAACAACAAAAAAAACAAACAGATGCTGTGTTTAGCTGCTACTTTGGCCAATATACAGGTAGCAATGGCTCATTGTTACAGGGATCATCAAGCCTAGCTAATTCATTAAATGAGTGATTTAGACTCCATAGAATCTTGTTCTTGAATCTATGTGAGTGCTGAACTGGGTCTAGTATTAAAGAGAAAAAACAGATAGTTCCATGCTATCCCTGTTCAATTACAGGTAATAACAACACTGGGGTTCTTGGTAATCGGCCCTTACCAGTAGGCTAATATACCCGTATATTAGCCTACAGGTGTTTGTTTAATATAAACAACAACTTATTAACTCTGTGCCTAAAGCCACTTTTAGGAACAACATAATATATGTGGTTATCCATTGGTCTGGGATAACGCAGCCAGGATTAAGTGCAATAATTCTTGCAATCTTCGATGGCATTGTTGATTAGACCAATCCAGAAAGCTTTCTCAATTTAAAATGTCTTGAGTAGCGTGTAGCTCCAGGCTTTATAGAATTGCCCATCAAAAGCCTTGTTATGGCTTAGAAAACATAAAAACTGAACAAAAAAAACAGGTCCACCCCCTAAGCTAAGATGAGTGGAGTGTTGTATGCAGTTCAGTGCAACAAGGAATGCTCTGATCTTTTTTTTTTTTTACTTTTTGTTTAGTATTTTTCCAATTTTACATTAAAACAAGCAAACAGACAAAAAAAAAGAATATGAACAGATAAGGGCGATAAAAATATAGCAAAGATATAACAGAGTCCGAGTTTAGTGAATGTAGGGGTCCCACAAGTCTTAAAAGAAAAAGGGTTTATCTGTCGTTCAAGTCTTATTGAGGGTAAGTCCTTTCCGATTTATGTAATCAAACCAATTCCTCCACTGTTCTTTTAGGTATTTGTGCTTGATCCTTAAGTGGTAGGTCATTTCCTCCATCATGAAGATTTCCTCTACTATTAAAATCCATTGCGTCAGGTGAGGAGGGTCACTTTTAAACCATTTTCTGGTAATCGCTTTTTTAGCTGCCACTATCAAGATTTTGAGAAGATAGATGTCTTTCCGTTGTATTCCTTCACTCACCAGCCAGCCTAAATACATTATTCGTGGGTCCTTGGGTATCTTGTATCTTATTATTTCTTCTGTAGCCTTTACAACTTGATCCCAGAAGGTTTGTATTTTTGTACATTGCCAAAATATATGAGAGTGACTGGCATTCATCTGTCCACATTGCCTCCAACATTGTTGTTGAGTATGGAATAATTTATTTTGTAATTGAGGTGTTATGAAGTAGCGTATTAAATTTTTCCATCCAAATTCCCTCCTGCCTCTGGAGCTTGTGGAGGAGTGTTGTGTTTTGCACATTGAAAGCCAGTCACTCTTTGACAGTTTCACTTTTAACTCTGCTTCCCATTTGGACTTTATATATAATGAGTTATTCCCATTTCGTTTTTGTAGGCTTTTATAAAGTTTAGATACAACTTTTATTGGGGTTTTCGTGTATGCATCTACAAAGAGCTGAATCAACTCATTTCCCTCTGGTGATAATTCTTTCTCAACCTCATTGGTATAGAAGTGTCTTAGCTGCAGGTATTTGAAGAAATCTCTGCTATTCAGCTCAAATTCTCTTCTGATTTTATTGAATGTTTTAAACGTTTTTCCTTCTACTAGTGTGCTGATAGCTGTTATCCCCTTTCTACTCCAATCTATAAATGTGCTATTCGAGTCTTTTGGTTTAAATCTCTTTGACTGAGAGGGCCACATTAATAGTTTACTATCCCCTTCTGATTTGTATTTTTTAAGTACTTCATACCATATTTTAAGAGTTTCTTCTAAAATTGTGTTTTCTGAGGTTTTACTTATTCTTTTTCTCCAAGCCTGTTTTGTAATTGTATTTGGGATATGTTTAATTCTATTTGTTTCCATTTGGCTTCGTATTTAAGAGAACACCAGTTGATTACGTATCTTAGTTGTGCAGCATAATAATATTCTTTAAAGTTAGGGAGTGCTAAGCCACCATTTGTCTTATCTAGTTGAAGAGTCTTAAATTTCACTCTCGGTCTTTTACCTGCCCAAATAAACCTAGATATTTGTTGGTTCCACTTATTAAACTGAGTTTCTGGAATCTTAAATGGTATTGATAGAAAGAGGTATAGTAATCTAGGCAGTATATTCATCTTAATTATTTCTATTCTCGAGCTAAAATCCAGTAATAACTTTGACCATTTCAAGAAATCTCTTTGTATTGTATTGTTAATTGTGGAATAGTTAGTTTCCTGAATTTTGTCCAGATCTTGCATAAGTGTGATTCCCAGGTATTTAGTTGATTTATTTTCCCATTTAAGTGTGTATCTTTGTCTAATTTCCTTACTTGGAGTATAGTTCAGTGGTAGCAGCTGTGTTTTTGAGATATTAATTTTATATCCTGACATCCTCCCGTATTTCTCCAGTTTTAAAAACCATGCTGGAAGCGTTTCATTAGGATTCTGTAGATATATAATTACATCATCGGCGAATAGCCCTATTATATGGTCTTCTCCTGCAATGTTCACTCCCTTCAGGTGTTTGCATTGCCTTATAAATTGTGCTAGGGGTTCTATGTAGATGGCAAATAATGAGGGGCTGAGGCAACAGCCCTGGCGTGTGCCTCTAAATAATTTGAAGCTTCCCCCAATGTGGCCATTAATTTTAATCCTTGCAGTGGGCTCTTTGTATAACGATTGAATACAGCTTATAATTTGTTTATTAAACCCTAATCTCTCTAATACTTTATATAGAAACGGCCATGAGACCCTATCAAAGGCCTTTTCGGCATCCAGACTGATCAAAACTGCTGATAATTGCTGTCTATTTATTTGATCAATAATATGGAGAGTTTGTCTTATATTATCTTGTGTTTGTCTTCCCATGATAAAACCTGATTGGTCCTCGTCTATCAAGTCAGGTAACAGTTGTTCAAGTCTTTTGGCTAGAATGGAGGTAAATAATTTATAGTCTACATTTAGCACAGAGACTGGGCGGTAAGATTGACAAAGTGTCTTGTTTTTACCTTCTTTTCCTACAACAGAGATTACTGCCTCTTTCCAAGATGGAGGGGTGATGGCGTATTGTGGCGTAAAGTTAAATGAATTTAACATTACTGTGGAAAGATCTTCCTTGAAGATTCTATACCACTCGTTGGGAAAGCCGTCTGCCCCTGGGCTCTTGTTTGGTTTTAATTTGCCAATTGCGTTGTTTAGTTCCTTTTTTGTTATGGGTGCAGTTAATTCCTCATTTTTTATTTTTCCCAGCGATGGAAGGTCTAGTGAATGTAGGAATTCTTCTATGTTTACTAATCTGTTTGGGTCTGGATGAGTATATAGAGACTCATAATATTCTTTGAAGACAGTATGGATTTCTTCTAAATTGTTTGTTACCTTATTCTTTTTTGGGTCCAATATACCATGTATTGATTGTTTAATTTGTTGAGATCTAAGGCGCTTTGCCAAACTTTTTGTTGCCTTAGAGCCGGATTCATAGTAGTTTTGTTTTACTAATCTCAATTTCTTTTCTTGTTCATCTTTCAGGATATTCTCTATTTGTTTTTTGACCACTTTTATTTGATTTAATGTTTTATCCTCCCTTTTCCTTGAATGTTGTTTTTCTAGGTTTCTTAAAGTTTCAACTAATTTGTCATATTCAGCCCTCTTTTTTTTCTTTAAGTAAGCTGTTCTTTTAATTAATTTCCCTCTCATCATTGCTTTTACAGTGTCCCACAGTATGGTGGGGTCCACTTGGCTGTTTTGGTTATCTGTTATGGAATCTTTTATTTCTTTTTTAATCTCTTTTACGACAGTTTCGTTGTTTAAGATGCCAATGTTTAGTCTCCATAAAGTATTTTTTGGTGTGTTGTCTAGATTAATGGATAGATAAATAATGTTGTGGTCTGATAGGTCTGCTGCTCTTATGGAGCATTCCTTCGCCTTGTGTCTGTCTGCTTTATTCATTAGGAAGAAGTCTATTTTAGAGTGGACTTGGTGTGTAGCTGAGTAATGTGTGTAGTCCTTCTCTGATCTATGTAGGTCTCTCCATACATCATAGGTTCCGGTCTCTTTCATTAAGATATTTAAATCTTTTGATTTAGTGGATTGACGCCTGGTGCTTGTAGTATCTAGAGAGTTATTTAATACTGTATTCCAGTCCCCTGCACAGATTAACGTTCCTTCACTTTCAGAGGCTATTTTATTGAATATATTTTGGAAAAATCCTCTTTCACTTTCTGGTGGCACATATATGTTTATCATGGTAATCAATTTATTTTCTAATCGGCCTTTAACTAGGATGTATCTACCTTCTTTGTCTCTTTCTTCATGTGTCAATTGAAAGTCAACTGAGTTTGAGATTAATATAGCCACTCCCCTTTTACGGCTTTTTTTACATGAGCTAAAGAATGCATTCAAAAAACCGAACTTTTTTAATTTGTTATGTTCTTGTTGCGTCATGTGTGTCTCCTGTAAGAATATCACCTGTGTTTTATCTTTTTTTATTTTGGTCATTACTCTGCTCCTCTTGACTGGATTGCGCATGCCATTTACATTTAAGGAAGCAAATCTCAAACTATGTGACCCCATGACTCCTGAACTGAGTTGTATAGGCGATGTGGGCCCCATTCAAACCCTTCAAAAATGAACTTAAGAACAATACGAACAGAAATATGTACAATAATGGAACTAACCTCCAAGGAATGAGGGGGTTTTTATACCTCCTCACTAATGACCCCACTGGTAAGTCGGGGGGGGGAAACCTCAGAACTAGAGAGGGTCCACCCATAAGAGTGGCTACGTTGTTAAAGATAAACAACTCTGCCATCTTTTATAGTCCAGCGGTAAATATTCAATATCTAAAACCAATTCTCCCAAACAGTTTTACTGAATTACACCAAGGCCTTCTTTAAAGAGCCATTTCAAGTTAACTAACCAAAAAAAAACCGGCTACCCCACATTAGATGTTCTTGCTGTACCCCCTGTGGTACTCTTGTAATTTTTCCTTTGCTCTCTGTGCGGTGGATGTCGCCGACCCGCGGCTGCCAACTTGCTGCCATCCCTGCAGTTCCCGAAATCGTGATCCCAGGTCGCTGTCCTCCGCTGCGGGCTCCGGTTCCTGCACGTCAAATCCTCGAGTTCTCATATCCCGCAGCGCCTCCTGTGTGCTGTCGTAGGTCCGTGCTCCGTTGCTCCAATGAACTCTCATCTTAGTGAGCGGTGTCTGAAAGCGGATATTTTTTTCTTTCAGTGCTTTCTTTACCCCAGCATACTCTTTTCTCTTTTTTACTATCTCTGCCGGGTAGTCGTGATCAAAGCAGAGTGACCTGTTACTCATCTGAATCTTTCCTTTTTTCCAAGCTTCCCTCAGCACCGTCTCTTTGGTGGTGAATTCTTGAAAGTTTACTATGATGGCTCTTGGCGGTGCGTCAGGTCGGGGTTTGGGAGCCAGCGATCTATGGGCTCGCTGTATTTTCAGGTCCAGATCCGGGGGTAAAGGCAGCTCTCTCCGGAGGAGTTTTTCAATGAATTGAGGAAGCGAGTTTCCTTCTTCTCCCTCCGTTAAACCAAAAATGCGCATATTATTTCTTCTGGCTCTGGCTTCTAGGTCCATAACTTTGCGCTGTAGCTCTGTTTGTTGGTCTAAGCTGTTACAGAGCGCCTCAGTCACCTCCACCGACCACCGCTCTACCTTCTCCACTCGATTCTCCATCTCGCACGTTCGTTCGGGCAAGTTCTGTACCTCCGTTTTCAGGTTGTCGAGTTTGCCTTTTATTTCTTCTCCGAGTTGTGCAATTTCACTCCTGAGATTCCCGTTGTCCCCCTTTAAGTCTTCTTTTAATTCTTTTATTGCTTCTAGTATGCCGGCAGGTTCCATTCTAGCGCTATTGCTAGCTTGTGCAGCTTCGGCTTTAGCCTTCGTTATAGAAGAGCCTTTATCTTGAGGTTTTGGCATTTTTATCTTGAATTGGCCTCTGGTATGTGTCTTTCCGTCCCTCAGATATTTATATCCGTCAAATGTTACGTTATCAAATTGATTAGAGGGATTTATGATTTCAGTTTGGAAGAGAAGTTTCTCGTGCGTCTGTCTACTCCATGCGTTAAACCGGAAGTGGAATGCTCTGATCTTTATATTGGAGAGACCAAACAACCTCTCCACATATTCATGCCTCGACACAGGAGAGCTTTTAATTTTGGAGATTTTTGTACTGGTCCTGTCTGCTCTGTCTGCTGTGTTTTTTGCACTCTTTTCCTGGATCTTGCTGGTTACCGAACCTGGCCTGTTTCTCTGACTTCGGCTTGGATTCTCCTTAAAGACACTGTTGCTCCCTCTGCATCAACTATCGTCAGCTCATTATCATTCGGGGCGCTGGAAGCGGCTACGGCTGCTAACTATCGCCCTTTCATCTGGGATCGGATTGGACTTTGAACCAGGTCAGTGACTTTTGCTCTTTGTCATTATTAGCCCGATATCCCTGTCACTGACCTGTGTTTTCTACCTCTGCAGTGAAACCAGTTATCCGCCCCGCTGATTATCAGCTGCTCGCTGCGTTATTGGTTCTAAATAAAGCTTGTTGTAAACCGTCCTGAACTGTCTGTCTGAATATTGGGTCAAAGTTTCTGAGGTCGTTACACTAAAATCTCAATCCTCATTGCCATACAGGCGAATAATGACCCTAACAGCTCCCCATTACAAAGGGGGGGACCTGTTTCTGTTCAATTTCCATGTTTTCAAAGGCACAACAAGGCTTTTGTTGGGCTACCCAATAAGCCTGGAGCTCCACATTACTCGAGACATTTTGAATTGAGAAAGCTTTCTGGATAGGAAGCGAAATGAAAAGTCCAGTGGTTTTGTTTTTTTACTTGTTTTTGGACAAACAGAGGTCCTTAGAATCAACCATGTATGGTTAAATGATAATTCAATCAGATCATACAGACAATTCCATCTTTATGAAACACCCCATCACCAAAAAAATCACAGCAGCATGTTGTTTATATCTGAAAGAGATAGATATTAAATGGCAGATAGTTGTACTATACCTCTGGTAGAGCTTTTACAGACCAAAATAAGATAAAAGTTGTGTGTTATTATTATTATTATCATCCAGGTTGTGCAATATTAATTTATCCCTCTGTGTTGAGTTACTATCCTGCATTCCATTCCTGCACCAACACCTTAATTAAATTGCTTAAATCTCTCAATAACCTTTTTTTTTTTTTTAGCTTTAAAGAGGCCTGCTAAATGTCCAAAGTCCAAGCAGCTCCCATCCGGCCCAACCAGAGTAGCAGATGGCAGGTTGCGCCAAGTGGATAGCTAGCTGAGAAGTTATCCACATTGGTTTAAATTAGAGCATTTGATGTTTAAAGTACAGACAGACCAAATGGATAGACTTGTTAATAGTCTGTGCGCCGAACGAGCTAAACTAATTGTTACATTGTCTTACCCGTGCAGTGGCTGTTTTTCCATTTAATCCCTTCAAAAGAATCTGTTGATCCTTTTGCCGTCTCTTCTTCCTTTTGCAGCAACATTTAATCCAGATACACAGGCAACAAAGTAGAACAACTAGGCTACAACTTCCAAAGATGGTGTAGATTGCCCATCGGGGTACTGCAGAATATAAAAGGAAAGAACAGTTAGATGGGATTGTTGTAGTGTTTTGTTTTTTGTAATTTTTTCAGGTCATTCATGGCATTGAAGTCCCAAACAAACAATAAAAAAGATTTTGAATTTGAATTTCAGCTGACAAGTCTCCATCTGCACATCATTTATTGAAAGCCACAAAATGTAATACGGTTTAACTTACAGCGTTTAAATTTCTATTATATAGGTGCTAAAAGCCCATTATCATAAAATGTTTGTTCCAACCTAAAATGTTGGATAATAATTGTCACTGTGTTATGCACCAGAAAGAGAACCTGAAATGATTGCCAGACAGAGGCAGTTGCAAAACATTTATACTTCTGGGAGTCAGAAAGCATTTACAAGATCGAACATGTTAGGAAATGGTGGTCAACAGTTTGGTGTCTATTCCTAAGATTGTAAAGGAGGAATTGATTAAACTGGTTTATTCCTTCTTAAAAGTCTTTACCTCCAAACAGCTCCTCTTCAATCTGCAGTTTATGTACCCTTCCTAACTTCCTATACTTCCTAAAATCAGGTAGCGGCTAATAAATGTTATGTTACAACAGAATATATAAGCCAGGCACAAATCCTAGCTAAGATTACAGAGTTAAACGGGAGGCAGGGAGGAGTCCTACACAAATAGGCAGACATCAGCTTCTTATCCAGGCACTTTACAAAGAAACAAGGTCTTTGTCAAGAAAATGAAAACCCAGTTGTAAAAATAGTAAGGGCACAGAAGCATGGTTGTAGTGAGGAGATATGGTAAGGCCAATGAAGAAACCGTGGACATCAATAATCAGAGACTTTCGATAATCTGGCAGAATATCGATGGCTTAAGCCGGGCGTACACTGTGCGATTTTCGGGGCGATTTTCCAGTCGTGCGAGAATCTTTTGATCGGGCCGACTTTCAGCTTGATCGTGCGTCGTGTAGTGTACAGGGGGTTACGAGGGGCGATCAGCCTCTCACGACCACCTCCCGATCAGGAATCATAAGTTTGGGAGAAAATCAAACATGTTTGATTTTTTCCCGACTGCATGGGCAAATCGCTCAGTGCGCATGCGCAAACAAGGATTCTTCTGTAAACACAGCAGCATGGCAGAGATGCAATGAGTGAAATGCAGTTCTGTCTGTAAAATTGACAGACCGTAGTAGCCACGTTTGCTCAGCCATGTCTTTTTCTCAAATACGTTGTCGCCTTTTCTTTTCAGGGCTTTCAGCACAAAATTGCACAATTTACCAAGGCAGTGCGGTTCACTATAGTGAGCTTAATATTCCCCTTCTATTTTTTTGGCTTCCGGATAGATGAGTCAGAGCAGCTCCATCTCACTGCGGAGCTGAATCCGACGTGGTTTTAAGTTGCACAGTTTGAGCAGGCAGATCGCATAAGAGCGTTGGGCCGAACATCAATCGTGAGCTGTAGCTGCGTGCAACGGCTGAAAAAATTGCACAGTGTACGCCTGGCTTTAAGTAGGCCAGCTAAAAGGTAAGGGGATTGACACTGACTGAAGCAGAGCATACAGCTTTTTAACTTGCAACTGAAATGTAAAGGTGAAAAAAATAAGTTTCACTCTTGACCCAGTAAGTCTACTTCTCTTTGTTTGGGCATCCATTTGTGTAGCTTTTATTAAGAATACATGGAGTAGCAGTCTGAACACCTCTCTCTGCAATGGATTACATCTTGTGTTTTGGCCTTTTATCTTGAGAATGAACAAGATTTTATTTTGAGAGTTTTGTTGGAATGTCCCAAAGAAAAAGCCTCCACCTCAAGGTTTTAAGAGAGTGGCGAAAGAAGCCACCAAGTGTATCACCAGTTAAACATGAAAAGTCAACACTATATAGAGGTGGCCTAGAATTTAGCCTTCTAAAACCTATTCCACACCATCACCTCCCCAGGGAATTTAACGCACGGAGAGGTGATGTTAAATGGATAAGTGACCAAAACAACTTACCTCACTGCATAGATAGCATAGGAGAGGAAGGTCAGGCTAATAACTAATGTGAAATACAGTAATTGCCCCATCAGTGACATTAAAGGCCCTATTAGAGTTCAGAATATAAGGTAAAAAGCCTTCTACTTCTACTTCCAAACATTTCCAGAACAATTTGCAGACTTTTGGATGATATTTGAAACAAGAGAAGAAATCATACTCAATATTTTAGGATGGCTAAAGTACATTTTCAGTTCACCTAGATATCTTATGTCCTTTATACATTTACTGAGACTCTTTTGAAAAACAACCATGAAAGTAGAGAGAAAAATAGTAGAAAAAAGGGAAGCTCCTGGTTGATAACTTACAGTGAGAGTGTGTCAACAGGTCTTCAAGGAAGCCAGAAGCTGTATTAGCGGAGCCATTAGTGTGGGTGGACGCTGTGGTGATGATGGGTTGATTGGTGACTTTCAGATTTAAGGATCCACCTTTTATTAGAGCCTGCAATTTTGGGGCCTTTGGTGTTTGCAGATTTGAAGATCTTGACAGTTGGATTACAGGCATTTTAAAAAGGTCTAAAAGCAAGAGATGTGGGGAATAAAAACATCCATTTAATAATCTATGTAATCAAATATTTTTATTTCAACCATGTGATAATACAAGAATCTAACAGACAACAATAAAACCAAGTGGGCTGCAAATTCAAGCAAAGAAAACCAGGGAAGTATCTGGTGGACATGTAATCAGAAGTTACTCTTAAGTGTAAAAGAACAAAAACAATTAAGCAACATCGGGGGAAACCTCCACCCAAGTAGCACAAGCCCAGATTAATCCCATGGCACAAAAAATACCAATGAAAGGCTAAAGACATGAACCCGAATGAAAACCAGAATCATTTAAGGATATAACATAAAGTGAGCATCTTCTTATTTAACTCTAGGTTATTTGACTTTCTGAGAAAAACTAAAAGCTATTACTTACCTTATTCGGAAATTTTATGTATATAAACTCAAGGATACAAAAATGTATTTAATTATAATTTATTCTGAGAAACATAAGGCCATCTCTCCAAAACTGGAATCTTCGAAAGAACCAGGACATAACAGAGGACAGAGTTAAGATGAGGGTACAGTACACAGGGTGGTAGCAACTTGTAGGTCCCACACTTTGCATGGTTTTTCTTACTATTACTGGTATTGTGCTGATGTGAGCTTGTTAGAGTGAGCTAAGGGTTTTTGTTAAGAGAGTATGGCCAGGTCAGACATACCTTTTAAGAGGCCAAAAAAACAACTAGCTGCATTAAGCAAAGAAGCACAGCTTGACACAGACCTACAGACACAAGTGCTTGCATTTATCTGTCAACCTCAGGACCTTAGAGTTCAATATCAATGTTAGTGTTCACTGAAGCAAAGCCTCTAAGTCGATAGAAACGTAAATGTAACGTAAAGGACAAAATAAACACTTTGAGAAGGAAAACTTCCTGTAGATTGCTTTATTTTAGCAATATGTGTCTTTGTGTTTTATAATGAACTATATGACTGCTCCTCTTTAAAACTCCTTGCCAGGGGTTTTAAGGCTAAGTTGACAACTCTTCAATACAACAATCGGTTTTAAAATGGCTCTTCTGTAAGCTTTTCTTAATATTGAGTCTGCTGTACCGATCAACCTACAGGAGCCACAGGAAGTTCAGCACCTACATATAAACAAAATGCATACTAACATGCATGGTTGAGGTTCCACCCAGAGGCCTCCACCCTGAATAAACAGCTAAAAGCAGCACATTAACCCTCTGGCTGATCTTTCAGCTGATAAGTCTTTTTATACCCCTTGCATCTTAGAAAATTTCCAAAAGCTTTAAAAAAAAAAAAGCTTCAGTACCACAGATCAACATTATGTAGTTCCTTTCTTCAATTCTGAAATAGGGAGTCAAATATTTAACCCATTATGTTTTCATTTTCAGCTCACCGGTCTCCTTGTAGATGTCTTATTACAGACATTATATATAACGCAATTTGAAAAAAAATTTTGTAAAACTCAAAGAAAAGTGTGGAAAAAAGTGAAATATAATATCTCTAAAAAGAAATTCGAAAATAAAAAATCTATAAAATTAATTTAGCTATAAGAAGAAGCAAAAATGTAGAATCCAAAAAAATACATTTAAAATATAACATTTTAAAGCTATTACTCAGATATTGAGAGAGGCATGTACAATAAACAGTATAATGTAACTGTACATAACTGTAAAAGACAAATGTCCTCACACAAAAAAAAACTTTAGTATTCTTAGTCTATTCAAAGTGTTGTACTCACTTGTGGGTATGTTTCATCCATAGGTTAACTTGTGTTCCCAAACAACTGGTTGTAAGATTTCTACGAAAAAAAAGAGAAGTTGGGTTAGATCAGGACTAAAGGGGAAGGGAGGGACGTTTAACTGCTGAGCTGAAATGGAGTCGAGGTATTTTAATCAGAGGGAGGAAACGTCTCCTTCCTGGATTTACACCCAGTCTTTTGTATTGTATTAGCAGGAAAATACTTCAGAAAAAACACTTGTGAAATTTGCTCTTAATGGTAATGTTGACTGCAAAAGAAACAATTTCATTAAGAAAGACCATTCATGTTTGCCTACATAAAATAGTAAATATCAAATCTGTTAAGCAGCTTCTTTAAGTTTACTCTTGTCTCTGAAGCAAAGGTTTATGGACACATTGAAACATTTTTGTGACATGAGCATCATAGCTTACATTTGCTCTAGGTTTGCCTTTTAACATCTAGGGCAGTTTAAAAGTATTTTTCCCGAAGACCCAACAAATTTAACATAGAATATAAATTAAAAAAAGAGAAACAAACGGTGAATGGTTTGTACTTATTTAGTTTTTTTTTTTCAAGTCAGGAGACTTGACCAAAGCGCTTTACACAACATTAACTCATTCACACAATGCCGTTGTGTGAGGGTGTTTGTAGACCAGACATAGCTTCTTCCCAAAACAAGCCAGATTCTCTCTCAAAGATTATTCATAACATGTTACTGTTTAACCAAAGTGTAATTTGTTTTGACTCTGACTACCTTCCAGAATTGTAAGTAAAGCATAGCTGAAATTATATAATCAGCTTAAATAGAACAAAACTCCGAACCTTTACATATCAATGTCTTTTGCACCATGATATTAAACTGGTTTCCTTTTCTCCTACACTGTTTACATTCTTGATGACTGCTGCACTTTATAAATTGTAATGTTCATTTTACTGTTATAAGCTGCTCATTCACTGTTGAAAAGCTGTATGCATCGAAATTTCATTTTGTAAAAACACTGTGTATACAAGATAAAAATAAAACACTACTTCACTTTTTTAAATCGACTAACTTTAAGGGATTTAAAGGGCCCTTGGCAGACCAATTTATTTAAGTGAATTTTATTTTCAGAGCTGTGGGACTTGACTGCGGGAAATACGGCCAAATCATTCTTTACCCTTAGACTCTGTTGGTAGAACCAATCCCTCTGTGCGAATTACTGCCAGAGTTTCTATTTTACTTCCTTCAAAAATCTTTGAAGTTTTTATACTGCTGTTTCACTTACCGTCATGCTCTCTGTCCTCCCAGATTAAAATTACTGTTCCAAGATGGGATTCTTACCAACTTCGCTCACATCACAGGAGATGGAGTTGGTTCTATTTTTCAGTGCTCAGTTCTGTTTCTCTTCCATAGTTATGCACTCAGTTTTTACTGGAACTAACCATGATGCTCTTAAATCAATTTTAACTTGAAAACTAGTTCAGTTACTCTTACCTTAGGAGGTATTTATGTTGCAAGTCTGCTTCTGTCTCCTTAAGCCTACATTTGGCCTCGGCAGAGGGTCATTCACACCAATCCTGTTTCTGCTGGAGGTCACTTCCTGTTAATGAGGTTTTTCCTCTCCACTATCACTGCATGCATGCTCGGTGTGAAGGATTGATGCAGAGATGATACAACCCAAGCAAATCTACTGTTGCTACTTTCTCATCCAGGAAGTGCAAATTCTGCAAAGTCAATGATTTGATGCTATCAGCTGGGTTTCATTAGATGGAAAAGCTTTAAGCAAGCTGACTGGATGATCTGATCAAATTGTCACTTTTAAGATTACATATTTTGTAAAACGCATGCGTGCATTTCACAAAAATGCATGCCTGGGTTCTTTCCAGGTACCTGGACTGTGGCTTCCTCCCACAGTTGAAACACATGACTGTTAAGGTTAACTGGTTTCTCTAAATTATACTTAGGTGTGAGTGTGTTTGTGAATGGTTGTTTGTCCTGTTTGTCTGTGTTGTCCTGCGATGGACTGGCGACCTGTACCCCTCCCCTTGCCCCCAGACAGCTGGAGATACAGTAGGCACCAGCAACCCTTGCGACCCCACTTGGGATAAGCGTGACAGATAACTGGTAATTGCACTATATAAACAAACTGGATTAACTGAAAATAGGTCATGCCTACATATAGAAACTAACATTGATAGCAACTTGATGAAGAGACCCTAATATTAGGCAGGCAGAAAAGAGTAGAGAGGGGTCTGTAACCTGTGTCTCAAAGCAGCATGTGGATCTTAATAACTTTGACCAAAAAGATTAAAGTAGTAATGTAATGTTTTTTAAATGTTAAATTAATCAGAACTATAACTTTAAAAATAACTTTACCAGTTTTTCCTGGAAATGTTCTTGCAACAAACGCATCTGATTTAAACAAAGGGAAATTACACATTTCAAATAGGGGTTTTGGACTGTACTACTGGTAAAGTTTATTAAAATGTTTTTGTTTTTTTTTTTAAAGAAACTGATTCAATTTAAACATAAAAAAATTTATTATGAACTTTAGACTCAACTGTCATAGGTTCAACAGAAAAGAGGTATTCTTTTTAAAAGTAAATCTTTAATTCGTAACAAGTAAAAATAGGCTTCCAATGTACAGAGAGAACATTCTAGCAGTAGCAATACCTTTACTCATTCCTGCAGATCATATTATGTTAATGTGACATTGCTGACTTATATATTTGTATAGAAAAAACAAACAATAAAACGACAATACCTGAATCAGTTGGCTCAAAATGCTGTATTTTGTTGTAGAGCTTCATGTGTTCACACTATTGGCAGATAAGTCTGCACTGCTCTGCTGAGGTCCTTCATCTCCAGCTTGCTGATCGTCCTTCAGCTTGTAGCAGCCACCACACCCTAACCCTGCACCATGTTCAAACACAGGTGGAGTTTCAGGAGTACTTCTTATTTATTGAGAGCGTGTGTAATCTACCAGAACGGCTTCAGTGAACTACCAAAACAAACAGGACTCTTTGCCAGAACAGAATACAAGAAGCTTTTAAAGGTGTTTGCTTTAATGAATTGTTTCCAGCTCCCCCGGAGGAAGCCTAAGGGGATCTAGGGACAGCCGAAGGACATAGTCCCTCCAGCGTTTCCTGAACTATGCCCTTCTTCAAATGCCAACTTCACGTAGTGGATGGGTTTCAGTGCCCAGATGATCCCAGAAACTATAATGCTTGGGACTTAAATGTTCCTTGTAGGGTCTCCCAATGCAAAAAAGGTTCTGGGTGAAAGGTGAGTTAAAGAGTGGTTCAAAAAGCTTTAAAATAAAGGGATTGAGCCAAGAGACACTGTTTGGAATGGCGAAGCCTGAACCTTACCCTGGAGCCAGGCCTGGAGTTTGCCAGCAAGCGATTGGTGGTCAGGTTGCTTTCAGAAGATATTCTTGATCTACCCTCCACAGCAAACACATAGGTCATGTGAGAGGTCATCAATATTAAAGCCAGTTTAAAGGATACCTCCTTAATTGCAGTAATAAATCAAATATTGTGACTTTTAGGGGAGGGGCTTCTTTAATTAGAACATAGGATGAAGGCACATAGGATGTTCTGCGGTGGTCTGTCTGACAGTTGATACGAAGAACCCTCAGATTTAAGACATTTTGTTGTAGTCCAACTTTGATCCATAATGTCCTTTTCCATTTGTGGCCACATCCACATGGCAGAGGAACCAATGAGAAAAGGATGCACTCTTTGAATGGGAAGTGGTCGCCTAGTGATTAGGGCATTGTACTTGGAATACAGAGGTATTGAGTTCAAGCCCCACTCCCACATACTGCCAGTCTGGGTCTCTGAGCAAGATCTTTAACCCCACATTGCTCCCCGGGCGCCCGCAAGATACCAGCCCACTGCTCCCCGAGGGGATGGGTTAAAAGCAGAGACTGCATTTAGATGCAGATTTAGTGTGAGGGATTGCATTTGAGTCAATGCAATCAACTGATTTTCCTTTTGAATGTATGATCTGGTTGAACTGTAAAGTGCCTTGAGATGACTTGTGTTGTGAATCGGCTCAATATAAATAAACTGAAATTAATTGCTCTGTACTTGTGACATAATGACAATAAAATCAAGAAAAAATACAAAAAATATTCCTGCTTTGGGGGGTGTAGCCACAAAAAGCTTTAAAATAAAGGGATTGAGCCAAGAGACACTGTTTGGAATGGCGAAGCCTGAACCTTACCCTGGAGCCAGGCCTGGAGTTTGCCAGCAAGCGATTGGTGGTCAGGTTGCTTTCAGAAGATATTCTTGATCTACCCTCCACAGCAAACACATAGGTCATGTGAGAGGTCATCAATATTAAAGCCAGTTTAAAGGATACCTCCTTAATTGCAGTAATAAATCAAATATTGTGACTTTTAGGGGAGGGGCTTCTTTAATTAGAACATAGGATGAAGGCACATAGGATGTTCTGCGGTGGTCTGTCTGACAGTTGATACGAAGAACCCTCAGATTTAAGACATTTTGTTGTAGTCCAACTTTGATCCATAATGTCCTTTTCCATTTGTGGCCACATCCACATGGCAGAGGAACCAATGAGAAAAGGAGGCACTCTTTGAATGGGAAGTGGTCGCCTAGTGATTAGGGCATTGTACTTGGAATACAGAGGTATTGAGTTCAAGCCCCACTCCCACATACTGCCAGTCTGGGTCTCTGAGCAAGATCTTTAACCCCACATTGCTCCCCGGGCGCCCGCAAGATACCAGCCCACTGCTCCCCGAGGGGATGGGTTAAAAGCAGAGACTGCATTTAGATGCAGATTTAGTGTGAGGGATTGCATTTGAGTCAATGCAATCAACTGATTTTCCTTTTGAATGTATGATCTGGTTGAACTGTAAAGTGCCTTGAGATGACTTGTGTTGTGAATCGGCTCAATATAAATAAACTGAAATTAATTGCTCTGTACTTGTGACATAATGACAATAAAATCAAGAAAAAATACAAAAAAATATTCCTGCTTTGGGGGGTGTGGCCACAAATTGAGCTCCTCGAGGCTTCCAACCTGCTGTTGCCACAGTGAACATTAATGAGAACTTCTTATACACTCAGGCTTGCACTAAATTCGGTTAATGAGATTCTATTTAGTTACCCATTTGGCATCACCTGTTTAAAACCGGAAAACTGAATTGGAAAGAGAGGTAGAGCTACTCATAGGCTGGAACCCAAACCAGACCATTACCACTGCACTTTAAATGTCAAGTGTCACTTGCAATAATGTCACACTCGCAGCTGTAGGGAGGTATAAATGTAAAGAGGTTCCAGTGGAAAGGGAGATCCATCGTTCTTTTGGCAACACAGTGATTTGAAATGAATAAATATACTAAATAATAACTTTACTCTCTTTTGTAAATCCCATTTCAACTAAATTCCCTCTATAGATAATATTACTCATTATCAAGGAGCAATCCTTAAAAATACTGAATAATAATATACTCCATATATATTTGTATATTTAATAATTTATTAATATAAAAATTTGTGTTTACCATATTAATATTTAACTGCAAAATATATAACTTTGTATATATTTTATCCAGATTGAGTTCAGTTTAAATGTTTTTAATCTGAATAAAAATTTCTAATCTAACTGAAAGGTTATTTTAAAATTTGTTTTGTTCTTTTAAGGGGTTGTGACATGTAAGAGATTATTGTGATATTCAATTCAATTCAGTTTATTTACATAGCGCAAGTTCACAATACGTCATCCCTAGGTACTCTACAGTTCACCAGATCATACAGTCAAATTGTTGTCTAAGGAAAACCAGTTGATTGCATCGACTCATTGACTCTAAGGCAATCCTTCACACAAAGCATGCTTTAAGCGACAGTGGAGAGGAAAAACTCCCTTTTAACAGGAAAAAAAACTCCAGCAGAACCAGGCTCAGTGTGAGCGGCCATCTGCCGAAGCCGACTGGGGTTCAAGTAGACGGAAGCAGAGATACAGAAAGCAGCTGTAAGAGGCGGCCCCATCCAGGAAACACAGCCAGGCAGACGAGCTCTGAGCTAACTCCCATGTCAGAGGATGAAGAGAGCACATCCAGCCAGTCACACTTTAGAGAAACAGGACTACACTGGAAAACAGGCCGATCTCCAACATCTATAAACAAAGTTGAGGCTGCAGCCAATGGGGGCCAGGGGAGTTTTCTGCAGGGGGCGCTATATATTCAAAATAGACATATACCAAAAACCAATTAACGTAAATTAAGTTATCATGCCAGTATATTTATATCAATGCCAACAACAAAAAACATTAGAAAAACACTTATGAAAAAAAAAACTTAAAAAAAAACATAATTTCATGCATAGGTTTACTCTTTGAACATAAATGTTGCCCTTCTGAGGCTTTGTGAAGGCAAATCTGTGTTTTGCATTGTCCAATATTGTGTCACAAATCTAAAAAAAAAAAAGTTCCTGTTTAATAGTGGAGAAGCTATTAGTCAGCTTTATATTTTTTTAATATATAAAAACTATTTTCTGAGAATGTGTTTATTTATGAGCAACTATGCAAATTGACAAACGTCTAGAATAAGTGCAGTATATTATATTATTTTCCGTGTGCATCCCAGATAGTTCATTCTTCATTGCCTTTTCTAGAAAGTGTTTTAAATCAGTCCTAGCTGTCTTTATCCATGCTGGGTTAGATCCTGATGTTTGAAAAAGGAGGCATGGAAAGCAGAATAAAGCTAAATGCTACTAGCCAAGCCTTCTTGCTAAACCAGGTCCTGCAAAAGGACATTTCTTGCACCATTTCTCTCTCTCATCTCTGATGCATATCCAACCCCGCGACTCGACCTGTCAATGTCAAACCCGCAAAACATCTGCGCTGTGTTGGGAAGTGGTGAGCAAATACAATTCCTGTCAGCTTGGGGTGTAGCTCTGGTGCGCCTTTGTATTGCAGAGGAGCTACTGCACATGTACAAGTTTTAAGGAGAGTCAGGCTCTGTTCGAAAACCTAGGACGCATCCTTAGAAGACCGGATTCGAAGGCCGATTACGTCATAGCGCGGCGCCGAGGTCTGGTCGGATTCCAAGAGTCCTCGTTATGCGGCCTTAAAATGTGTCCTTCTTTTTGCCCGATTTGAAGGACGGGTCTGATGTATCCTCGGTATTCTTGGATATCCCAGGATTCATTGCGAGACCAAGCAAGCTGTGATCAGAGTAAAGGTTACTTGGCGCCGAACAGTGGTGAAAATTGGAAGTTCAGTTTAATATAATACAAGTCATTTAATAGTTCCGTCTGAGATTAATGAAAAATTGTTGTTTTAATACACTATATTGCCAAAAGTATTTGCTCACCTGCCTTGACTCACATATGAGCTTAAGTGACATCCCGTTCCTAATCCATAGGGTTCAATATGACGTCGGTCCACCCTTTGCAGCTAGAACAGCTTCAACTCTTCTGGGAAGGCTGTCCACAAGGTTTAGGAGTGTGTTTATGGGAATTTTTGACCATTCTTCCAGAAGCGCATTTGTGAGGTCGCACACTGATGTTGGACGAGAAGGCCTGGCTCTCAGTCTCCGCTCTAATTCATCCCAAAGGTGTTCTATCGGGTTGAGGTCAGGACTCTGTGCAGGCCAGTCAAGTTCATCCACACCAGACTCTGTCATCCATGTCTTTATGGACCTTGCTTTGTGCACTGGTGCACAGTCATGTTGGAAGAGGAAGGGGCCAGCTCCAAACTGTTCCCACAAAGTTGGGAGCATGGAATTGTCCAAAATGTCTTGGTATGCTGAAGCATTCAGAGTTCCTTTCACTGGAACTAAGGGGCCAAGCCCAGCTCCTGAAAAACAACCCCACACCATAATCCCCCCTCCACCAAACTTTACACTTGGCACAATGCAGTCAGACAAGTACCGTTCTCCTGGCAACCGCCAAACCCAGACCCGTCCATCAGATTGCCAGATGGAGAAGCGCGATTCGTCACTCCAGAGAACGCGTCTCCACTGCTCTAGAGTGCAGTGGCGGCGTGCTTTACACCACCGCATCCGACGCTTTGCATTGCACTTGGTGATGTATGGCTTGGATGCAGCTGCTCGACCATGGAAACCCATTCCATGAAGCTCTCTGCGCACTGTTCTTGAGCTAATCTGAAGGCCACATGAAGTTTGGAGGTCTGTAGTGATTGACTCTGCAGAAAGTTGGCGACCTCTTCGCACTATGCGCTTCAGCATCCGCTGACCCCGCTCCGTCAGTTTACGTGGCCTACCACTTCGTGGCTGAGTTGCTGTCGTTCCCAAACACTTCCATTTTCTTATAATACAGCTGACAGTTGACTGTGGAATATTTAGGAGCGAGGAAATTTCACGACTGGATTTGTTGCACAGGTGGCATCCTATCACAGTTCCACGCTGGAATTCACTGAGCTCCTGAGAGCGACCCATTCTTTCACAAATGTTTGTAAAAACAGTCTGCATGCCTAGGTGCTTGAATTTATACACCTGTGGCCATGGAAGTGATTGGAACACCTGATTCCAATAATTTGGATGGGTGAGCAAATACTTTTGGCAATATAGTGTAGTTATTGAGTCAGATATGTGGCGATAATGTTTGGTTTATCTAAAGGTTTTAATCTGTTACTGTGTAAATGGGTTTGGCTGTAATTTAAGGACAGATTCTAATATATCTGCAGGGTGGGAACTATAAATCTGATAGGATTTTTATCTTTTTATTGCTGTTTTGCACAATATGCTTAACTACGTATTTTTTGTTGTTGAATATTAGAGATTTTGCAGATATATTTTTTATAAATACATTGTTTAGATTTACTTATATATTTTTACCCCTTTTATAGAATAGAATAGAAAATCCCTTTATTGTCCCACAATGGGGAAATTTACAGTAACAGAAAGATTATTGAAAATGGTCACACAAATGTGGACCTTAGAAAAATGTATAAGAATAACATAATAGGGAAGAGTTAAAATATAAACAATAAAATACTGTAAAGTGTTTTAACAATATAAAACTGGGGAATAAATAACCAATATGCAGCTATGGACATTTTTACAGTAATGGATATTTGAAAATAGCAGCAACATCAGAGATGTGCAAAATAACAGCAGCATGTTATTTAACTGACTAAGGTTTCTATCATTACATTTGATTTTATTTGTTCCTGCTCCCGGTGGTTGGAACATTTATTCCATTCTGGATTCTTGTGAGTGTAGTCTTTGTTCACTTCACAATAAAAAAGAAATAAACAGTTTTGAAAACTTCTGTATTCATTCTTTTCCTGCTTTGTGTGTCAACGTTTACGGTTGCTAAGCAACAGAGCATACAGCGGTAAAACCCGCCGAAGGGTAGACGTGGTCAAATTTACAGCCAAAACTCTTCCTGTCTCCTTATTATCAAGGACTTCGAAGGATCCAGTCTAGGTAGACCGCGTCTTTGGAGGACACGTCCTAGGTTTTCGAACAGAGCCTCAATGGTCAAAGATTTTTGCGCCCTAGGGCGGAAATACGTCACCAATCCAAGGAAATATGGAATGACGCTTTACTAGTAATTAAAGATTAAATATTTATCTTTATCTAAAAAAGATATATAGATATATTTCAAAAATATTTTACATTTTAAAATAAAATTATAAAGAATATGTCTTGATAAGGGTCATTGGGTGTGGGTGTCTATTGGCCAGCCGCCACTGGCAACAGAACAGCTGATATTTCTCTCCAGGATAGTTTCACAGTCAAACAGGAACAGACAAGGCGAAGCTACTATGTGAAAAAGCAGAGAGAGCGTAACATCAGAGATTGAGCTAACAGATTCTGCAGATTGGGAGAACAGAGATAGAATGAAGCAGAATGATGAAAAGGGCTCCCTATGTCCTCCAACAGTCAAAGCCTATAGCAGCATAACTATAGCGATAGCTCAGGATAACCCGAGCCCCTCTAACTATAAGCTTTATCAGAAATGAAAGTTTCAAGCCTACCGTTAAAAGTAGACAGGGTGTCTATTGAAATGTGGACTCATCAGACCACTTTTTAATCTGTCCATCTAAGATGAGCTTGGGCCCAGCAAAGCCGCAGCGTTTCTGGATCTTGTTGATAAATGGCCTTTGCTTTGCATAGTAGAGCTTCAACTTGCACTTACAGATGTAGTGATGAACTGTAGTTTCTGAAGTATTCCTGAGCCCATGTGGTGATATCCTTTACATACTTATGTCGGTTGTTGATGCAGTACCGCCTGAGGGATCCAAGATCACGGGCATTCAATATTGGTTTTCAGCCTTGCCCTTTAAGTGTAGTGATTTCTCCAGATTTTCTTAACCTTTTGATGATATTACGGACCGTAGACGGTGAAATTCCCAAATTCCTTGCAATAGCTCGTTGAGAAATGTTGTTCTTGAACTATTCAACAATTTGCCCACTCATTTGTTAACAAAGTGGCGACCCTCGCCCCATCCTTGTTTGTGAATGACTAAGCATTTCAAGGAAACTACTTTTATACCCAATAATGGCACCCACCTGTTCCAAATTAGCATGTTCACCAATGAGATATTACAAATAAGTGTTTGATGAGCATTTGTCAAATTTCTCAGTCTTCTTGTCGCTTGTGCCAGCTATAACAAAAATAAAAGTTTACCAGTTTGAACGTTAAGTATGTTGTCTTTGCAGTATATTCAGTTGAATATAGGTTGAAAAGGATTTGCAAGTCATTGTATTCTGTTTTAAGATTTACACAACGTGCCAACTTTTCTGGTTTGGGGTTTTGTAATTTAATAGATTTTGATCATTGGCAAGAAACTGTCTGGATGGAGTGACGAGTGGGTAACAGTAGAGAAGCTGCAGAGAGTTGTTTTAAACCGCGACTCTGCTTCCTGGGTTGTCAGGGATTTGGAGGACTAATAAATATGGCCAGATTCCTAGAAATAAGAGCTGCACCATCCAAAGTGGGATGGATGCTGTCTCTCCGAATAAGACCAGGCTTTCCACAAAAGGATTGCATATTATTTTTTACTTGGCTTACATTTCATTAAAATGAGATTTAAGGCACCTCCTCTTCATTCTGACAGCAGCTGTCTAAACTTTAGTCTGACCCAAGATGGCCACCCTCTAGGCATGTCGCCTCTCTATAATGTCTATGTGTGTAGCTATGAAGATGACACGAGCAAATTCTGTGCTTTGGGTTTGATCTGGTAATTAATTTACTCTTCTAGAGGGAAAGTTTATTCAGCTGGCTGAATCTTAAAAACTTAAAAAAATGCAACAAAGATAATTATAGAACTGCATTTATTGGTTTGGATGAATACAGAGCAGTCTCTGCCTGACTCCGGAAAAAACTTTCCAGCTGTTTGATCTTTAAACGGAGTCCAAAATGACCTAGAAGTAGTAAATTAATACAAGAATTGTAGAGAAGACAGCATGTGTTGTTTACATGTGGGGAACAGGTGCAAACATAGAGACTTGTTTTTCCAAAACCTCTGATATAGTAGAAAGGGCCTCCATCTTGACTGGGAACTATTTCTGATGCATTGTCCGATTGGAATATTCGCAACCTTTTCACACAGTAAAAAAAAGGAACGCAGTCAAACACATCCTTGTCTTCCGTTAGAGAAGAAAACCACCTTATAGTTTCATCAAAGTCTCTGTTCAAAAGTAAGGTGGAGGAAAACAATCCAATGGGAAGTTTATAGCATCTGCTGAAAAGCAGCCAAATAAGCGTTTTTTTTTACCAATAAAACCCCTTTCCTTTTGAAACACTTAAATAACATGAAATTAACTAAGCATCCTGCTGATATGGACCAAGGGCCAAGGGTGGTCTATGCTAGTGATGGCCATGATGCAGACATTGAGCATCTCGTTTCTCAGTCGCCGTGTCCGTTCATGGTGCAGCAGCTGATGGGACCTTAAAAGTTGATGGCTTTGCCGAACGATGCTGCCAGGTTGGCTTCCCTAAAAGCCTCAGACACGGTCTATAGGAAGATATCAGACAGGAAATTAGGTTAGGAACTGATGACTAGAAACATACCAACAAAAAGTAGTATTTAATATACCTGTAATTAATGTTGGACATCAGATTTTTTTCGGTAAAGGCTGTAGAATAGCAGGTCTGATTGCTAAAAAGGCCCTATTCAAACAACTGCATAATTTCTGTTTGCAATAAATTCACCATGATGCATCCAGCTAATTATTGGGCTTTTATCAAGTAGAACACATGGTTAATTAAAGGATGTTAGTTTATTACAATGGTTTTCATTATTTTTGCCTTTTCTACGATATGGATCTTATCAACCTTTTGAATTGGCTTTAAAATATTGTCTGTTGAGCAGCACTCGTCCTGAATCCTGTCATCGTTGATACAGATGATGTTGCTACCAATGGGTCGCCATGCAAGACGTAGTTCCACTCTCATATGGCGTTTTCGTGCCATAGGGTGTACATACAGTTATTATTTTGACCACCACCCTTCCTCCAACATTTGACAGGGAAGCCAAAATTCTCCCATGCAACTTAAAGGATGCAGGTGCTTTTTTAAGCTCCTCTCTTCCTCTGCTAGCTATGATCACTGCTCTATTTTAACAAAGGCCTCTACGTGAAGACGCCTCTATATGTATTTATTTATTTTGGTTTACCAATCCACGGACCACTTGCTTGGCGAGCTGCAGCGAGAAATCCGTAAGGATCACAGATTAGTAATGATCCGTTGCACCACTGTTAGTGGGCATCAGTTTTCCCCCTGTATCCATTAAAGCTGCTAGCCCAAAAAAGATGTAGAATTAGTGTAATGAATTTGAACCGTTACCAGATGTTGCAAAGCACTAATCATGGTCATCCAACTTAGATTTAAGTTAGGGGATAAAGTTTAAGTACTCATTCTGCTCTCCGCACCTTATTGATCTGCATGATTTAAATGGTTAAAGTGATGCAGGATATGGGAGTTTATACCAAAGCTGAGAAGCTTTAGGCTTTTCATGAAAACAAAAGTGTCCAAAGTAGAGGAAAATATCGCTTATCGTCCATAAGGGCAAACCTAAACGGTGCATCCTTAAATCAAACCATGCCTTGGACTGAGTAAAGTAGGGAACCTACAGGATGTGCGTGGCAGACCCGAGCGACGTCCTCGCAGGAAGCACCGTACTCCATGGCTAGCGCTGCCTCATTGATCATCTCTCCAGCTCCCTGCATTGAAACAAACATGTTATCAGTTTATAAAGCTGCTTCATTTTGTTTTCATTCCCTGAGATGTTCTTTGATTAGTTCAGATTTTACTGACCTCTGACCTCAAGGCTGAGCTAAAATGTTTGCACGATTTACTGGTTAAACTTTTCCACTACTGACAGTCTCACCACCTAATACTTTTTCACCTTCTTTGCTATTTACTCCTTTTTATTGCACATGAAACTAAAAGACAAAGATGTTCAGTTATTAAAAAAGAAATGAAAACTTAACCAAGTACCAACATTTCCCCAGTTGGACATCAACTTCTCAGCCAGAGTTCTGCTACTTAGTTTCTCCTGCTAACAATTTGATTTGAATCTGGAGTTGAATCTTGACGTGAAGCATTTTCCTCATTTAATGTAGTTTGGTTTCTACAGGTGAGTTGCATTGTCTAAAAATCTGTAAACATATTTGTTTAAGTTGCGTTCTCAGTGCACAGGACACTAATGAAGATCCCCTGCTACACCACTAGGAGGTGGTGTTGAGACCTTAACAAAACCTAATTTCACCATCCAACTATTTACTAGGCACAGAATGAAGGCGGCATTTATGATGTAAAATTCCCTTTATAAAAGGGAAACAATAACTAAGAAGGACTGAATACAAACCTGTTGATCTGTGATTTCAGTTATCAGATAACATAAATAAAAACGACCTCTGCCAAGCAGCAAACTTTGCCCCCAATTGTGACTTAGACCTATAGCTAAAACTGGTACATGATACGGATCATCTCCCAAATGTAATTGATTATTCGTTGGCATGAGGGACAACTATGGTAAAAAAAAATAAAAATAAAATTCATATAAAATACCTTCAGAAGATTTTAGTTGATCCTGCTAAGGAACTAACAATATTCCCTTTTCCTGCGTTTCTGTCCTCAGTAAAATCCCTCCAGACTTTTTGAGTCTGATGCTGAGGCTTTCAGTGCTCATTGCTGCCACCTTCTGGTTTAATGGGGAACTGCTTGTTCAGCCAAATATCCTCATCTCACAAAGTTAGAAAATCTCTAAAAACATTCCTGTGTCCAGATTATGAACTGGATCATCAGCAAAACTGAATGGGTTGCTCCTTGGCATGAGAGACATCTGATAAAACATTAACATGAGTTCATAAGTTTTGAAGTTATCCTGTAGGTATGTGCAGACAAATTCTCCTAAAAATGTTATAATTATTAGTAATATTAATAAGAAAATGGACCAAGTGTCATAAAAATATAAAATTAAGAGAGGTGTACGTTAATGTGCACTTCTATAACATTTGTGGCAGAACAAGTAAGAAAGACTGTAGATCGTATCGTGACACATGCTAAATACGCTAAACATCGTAAAAATTCTTGCCAATTCACCAATAGTGACAGTGCTATCAGTTAACCGTACATCCAACACTGCTAGCATAGCAGGATGAACAACTATTTGATACACTGCAGATTTTCCCTCTTGCCAGATATGAAGAAATCTATATTTCTATCATAGCTAGTCTTCAGCTACAAGTGATGGAATCCGATACAACACCAAATTAAAAGCAGTCAAGTTTTTTTTCCTGCATCAGCTTAGTTTATGTTAACTCAAAATTAAGGAAAAAAAGGCTTATATCGCCTAATTTATCAGAATAGATATAGACGCCTGCAGCAGGGCACTCAGTCAGTGGTTTTTAACATGAGTGCTGTTCTGCGCCCTTACAGTTCCGACGATGTGCGCTCCGAGCATCCGATCCGTTTCCTTGTGACTTAGAATCTTCACCAGGCCATCAGTGTCCGCGTTGGTCTTAGCCCGGCTGTTGGCAGCAAAGGGAAATTTGCCAACTTTGTATGGGACACCCTGGGGAGACCAGAGGGGACATTAAAAAAACTACTTTAGTATTCTGATGTAATTGTCCCTTAACATGAATGAAAACAAAAAAAAATTGAAGAAAGAAGCAAAATCTACTTTTATTGGAATTATTATATAGTCCACAGAAAAAGGATGCAAATGCTCATGTATTAAGGAAGGGTCTGAAGCTAAACTGGGCATTTTCTGAACGATTAAACTGGAAAACAGCTTAATTAACATAAATTTATTGAATAAAACAATGGATCAGTTTTCTTGAGTCCAACGACATAAATCTTTCCCTTGTGTCAATACTTACCTCTGACACAGGCTTATTAACTAATCCAACATCTAATTCTCCTATGAGATCAATGAAGTCCATTTTTTAGTTAAACTGAACTGAAATGTTAAGCACCTACAGCTGTGTGGCTCAGAGCTTTGATTTTTATCATCTTCCAATTCTACTGGGAAATAAAAAGCAAGCAAACCATTAAGCTGGAGAGATCGTGTTTTCTGAGGCGGACTCTTACCTCCTGTTTGAGCTGCTCTTCTGTTTTTCCCACCCAGGCCACCTCAGGGTGAGTGTAGATGACAGAAGGAACGCAGTTGTAGTCTATGTGTACTGCTCCACCAGCCATGCCCTCCACGCAGATGATGCCCTCATCCTCAGCCTTGTGGGCCAGCATTGGGCCGGCGACCACGTCCCCGATCGCATAAATACTGAAAAAACATCCAGAATAACTCAGCCATCCGTGCATTCTTTTATCCAGCTAATTTCTAGATGGGTTTAGTGTTTTAGAGTCCTGAGCTATCATTTGTATTTCTGTGTTTGAGTAGGCTCTTTATTTTTTACCAAACGAAAACTATGGAGTGAATTTTGTCCCTTTATTGTTGCAAAAAAAAAAAAAAAAAAAAAAAAAAAAGCATGTTTAGTTAATGGAAATTAACTAAACATGCTTTAGTTAATTAGCAATCCAGAAATTAAACTTAAAAAAAAAAAAACGTAAGGTTTTGAGAGAAACTTTGTTGTTTTCCGAGGTTCATATCTTATTTCATATATTTTATTTCTACAAATTTCTCATTAGGATTGGGTGTTAGAAATAGCAGTCATTACAAATCTGTCCCTTTAAATGAAGAAAGAACAATTTTTTTATTGATTTCACTATGTAATGTCTATTACCTAATAAAGCAGGCTTAGTTTGTATGAGTGAGATTCATTTAGAAAATGTTGCAGTGAGAGCCTAGGCCAGAAATCAAATCCATGACTGCAAGGCAACAGAGCAACAAACAGCAGCTCTCAAATATGGTAATAAATAAAATTAAAAACTGAAAAACTTAAATATACAAACAAAAAATTAGAAAAGTTATAAAAAAAAAAAAAAAAATCCCCTTTTTTTTCATTTACAACATGTTTTCTTTGCTTGCGGCAATAATGGAACAAAATTCAATCAAGCAGTATTTTGGTATTTCAGCAATAAGCATGTGCGGGCCAGGTTGTGACAAACAGGATTTACATTCAATAGATGCCATTAGTCTGATGTTGACCAGAACCCAACATATCACTATATTTTCTATTTTATCACAGTTCAGTAGGAGACAGCAGGTGAATTGTTCAAATGGCATAAAGGTAGAAATATTCTTGACTAAATTTCTGATTCAATGTGATTTAATGTGTTTAATTTGCTTAAATCTGTATATGTGAGCAAAAGGTTGGATGCCTCTTGTTGTCAGTGATGGAATGGTATCAGCCCAGACTCCTGTTCAGCGGTTGCCAAGACAGGCAGCAGATGGCCCTCTGGTAGGACCAAGCAGCTACAGAGAATATGTATGTAAGGATGTGGATTTAAAAGTTATACCCGTGTACTTTGGTCTGGAAGCGGTTGTTGACTGGAATACGACCTCTGTTGTCCAACTCGATACCAACACTTTCCAAACCCAGTTTCTCGGTATACGGCCGTCTGCCGACGCAGACCAGCAGCACCTCACATGTAAGAGTCTCATTCTTCCCACCAGCTGCTGCCTCCACCCTGCAACATGACACCCTCACAGTTACAAACATCCATTACTAAAAGGTCCAAAGCTTTTTTCCCACCTTTTCCTTCTCCTTACTAACTCACGTCACATCGATCTTGCCATCAGGCCTCTTGGTGGCGCCCATGACTTTGGTATTTAGCTTGAACTTGAGCCCCTGCTTCTGGAGAATGCGCTGAAAGTTCTTAGAGATCTCCATGTCAATGCCCATGCCCCCGACATGGCCCAAGAACTCCACTGCCGTTACTTTGGAGCCGAGGCGCTGCCAAACTGACCCCTGCAACCAAGGACAGACATGTCCATGAAGACTCCGTAATGAAAAAAATACAATAAACTGCTGCTGAAACTAAGTCCAGGTAACTAACCAGCTCCACTCCAATAACTCCAGCCCCGATAACAATCAGGTCTTCTGGCACTTTTTTTAGGGACAAAGCTCCAGTCGATGACACAATAGACTCTTCGTCGATCTAATAAAAAAAAACACAATAATTGTTTCTTTACCAGAACGTGACATAATGCAGGAGCTTTTTGTAGCTTTGAACAAATCAAAAAGCTTATTCGATATAAGATGCTACCTGGATACCAGGAAAGGGGGTGACTTCCGAGCCTGTGGCGATCAGGATGTTCTTACTGTTGATAACCTGCTGGGTGCCATCTGCTGCAGTAGCCGTCACTTGATTTTTACCAGTTATTTTACCAAAACCATTAACGTGGGTTACCTGAACAGAGGCGTCATAAGAAATTTACTACAGTCCTTTTTCATTACAAGTGAAGCCATAGATACTGAATTCTTACTTTGTTCTGTTTGAACAGATGTGCAATGCCTCCGGTCAGCGCTTTCACTGCCCCACTCTTCTGGGCCATCATCTTCTCCAGGTTTAATGAGATTCCTGAGACTGAGAGAAACAGAGAGCGGGAATGAGATGCCAATGAGCATATTCAAGTCAGCTGACATCACCATGGTTACACTGGGTGAAAGGTTAAACCATCAGTGATCTGTAAATGGGGTTAAAAGCTATTTACAGGAAACTGAAGGGTGTAAAAAGGTAGAAAACTCCACTATAGACAGTGTTGTCACCGGCATATTTCCATGTTCCAGTTAGCATTGGAACAAATAGTCTGACAGTGTGTCAGAGCGACACACCCTGTCCTTTAATTATAGTTTCACATTTCAGTACACTGGAAATCAGAAGTGTTTCACATTATATTAAATAACCTAGATTCCTTTATTTTATAAATATCTGGTAAATAATCCACAGGACTTTGTTTCCATGTTAGAAGATGTTTCGCTTCCCATCCAGGAAGTTTCTTCAATTCAAAATGTCCGAAATAGCGTCGAGTTCGAAGCTTTATAGAGTGGACCAAAAGCAAAACCTTTATTTTTGGCTTAGAAAACATGCAAGAGAAGATTTTTTTGTTTATTTGGTCAGTATTTGATACAGCAGCACAATAAAATGATGTACTCTCATGTCTTTTAACTCAGCATTTTGCAAGACAAAATATTTAGGCTCTTATGTTAATAGAAAGACCCTCTTGATACAAGATTAAACTGAGACTTATTGTTACTCATTAGACGACCAATAAGATCAACTAACATTAGATTATTTCATTGAATCATAACTTGCAGCGCTAAGTACCATCAAAAGAATAAAAATATATAAGAAAACAAAAACCTTTATTTAAAGGTACACTATGCAACCGGTGTTGATTTTCCAGTGAGGCTCCCTCCAGAGGGCGAAAGTAAAAGTGCACTGTCGTAAATATGCACAGCTGTTCTCCTGGTTTCTCCGTCAAGCCAGGCGCGGTTGTTTTGAGCTTAGCAGCGAATGACTAACGCTGCGTTCACACCGGGGGCAGCTGGCGCGACAGAAGCAGCGAGTTTACATGCAAAGTCAATGGTTGACGCGCGTCAAGGCGCAACAAAAGGTCCCGCGGCGCGTTTTGAGCACCAGGCGCAGCACGTCTGAGCAGCTGAAGCAGCGCGTCGGGTGCGTTTAACGCAGGGAGAGAGACACAGCGCTGATGATCTCTCCTCTTAAACAGTTTATTGACGCCTAAATTAACTTAAAATGCAGAAATCTGCCGGCAGAATATGCAGTTTGGATTATTTAGATGAAAAACACCTACCAGCTGCCGCGGTGAACCGCTGCTGATGAAGGGATCCATACTGTTGGCGCCCCGCTGGTATGTGGGGGTCTGAGCGGCTCCGACAGAAAAAATATTGAAGGCAGGATAATAATCTGAATGAACTGACTGCACTGATTACGTTTTCAGGTGTATTTTCTCACTTAAACACATATTAAAACTACTTTATTCCCACTGATCACAGCAAATATAGCTGCAAGGCAGAGAAAGGATAGTGAAGCTCCGCCCAACGCGCCTCAGACACAGCCGGAGCAGCAACGCTGCTTCAGCCACGAGTCAGAACTAACTGGTACAAGCAGCAAAAAGGAAGCAGCTGACGCGATTTTGCTGCGTCCGATGTGAACGTAGCATTACTGCACAAAGATCGCCACTTTGCTAGCAACGAGAATGCTTTTAACTGGGGGCGTGTAGCAGTTCTCGCCGTAAAGCAAGACTGACTCTCACGAGACTTCTGAGCCTGTGGGTGCGGGTCGGTGCTCCTGCAGTTGCAAGTGCAGTATTTCCCCCACAGACCACCAGGGCGGCCGAGAATACCTTTGTTCAACCTGAAATGACTCATTTAATCATCCAAAACGTTATGGAACACATTAATTAACTGAAAAATGTTGCATAGTGTCCCTTTAATGGCACTCTTCGTTATGTCTGCAACATGATTTTAGTCTTTATCATGTTTGCATAAAAACCAGCCTCTGTTTCCTCTAAGAGTAACAAGGAAAGTCTGATGACTTGAGAGACCTTTGTGATCATATTAGCGAGAAGCTCAAACATATCTCAGCCCAGGACTTTTTGGTGCTAGCAAACCAGTAGCTACATCTAGTGGTGGAACCTGAGCATAAGTGCTTCAGACGTTCATCTTCAATAACCAAAACCGCTCAGATAAGCATCTCAAGTGTTACTGTTACAAAACCAGCAGGTTTGTTACATTTACTACAAATGGTTAAACAGCAAAAATACCCTTCTCTTAAATACCTGCCAACTAAAAAAATATATTTGGTGGAAGGTATTTAAGAGAAGGGTATTTTTGTGGCATTTTCAGGATGAAAGTTAAGATTTTAAGATAAAAAAAAAAAGAAAAAGGAGAAAAATCACACAAATTTATGCAAATAAATCATCTCATCAAGGTGTATTAATTACTTCAAATGTATAACATAGGAAATACAATTTACTTTAAACACTTGGGACTTACATCACAGATGGAAAGTAAAGAGCTTCCCCAATATTATAACAGAAAATTCATATTAGAAAGACAGAATTTACTCCCATTTATAGGTAGATCTAGACTTCGGGAGTATTTTAATAGTTGAAAAAGGAAAATAAATTTCTTAACAAATGACTTACTTTCAATGCCTCTACTTTCAAAGTCTTTCCCATGCGCCATGTGGTACAAATAAGAGTTGTTTAGCAAAGCCTGAAGAAACAAAGGAATTCAGGTTTAGACAAATATTTCTATCCAAAATAGCATCAATTTCTATATAATAAATCTCTTAATGAAACTTGTGCAACAAACACATACGATTTAAATAAGTCGTCAAAATAAGAGGTGCCAAAGAGATAAAAAAATATATTTAGAAACAGCTCTATTATTCCTGGAACTGGACCACCCTTTATTAGCTTGCTCAGCTTCACAAAATCACCCGCTCTTATGCCAGTGTCCTAAACAAATGAAAAGCAGATCAGGAAGTAAACTCCTCCGGGAAGTAAACTCCTCCGGGAAGTAAACTCCTCCGGGAAGTAAACTCCTCCGGGAAGTAAACTCCTCCGGGAAGTAAACTCCTCCAGACTTACAGAAGATGAGCTGCAGCAAACATTGAAGGTCCTAAGGTTTCTAAAATGGGTACAGTGTGCTTGGTCTCCTTTTTGAAGACACAGTCCCTACTACTTCTTTCTTTTTACTTTATTCTTAACACCAGTTGTGTACAGTTTTTCTAATCTCCAATTTGATTTTCTTTCCGTGTCACACTGACTGTGTATAGACAGGCTCTGACTTGGCAGGGTGGTCAGATCTGTGCAGATTTTTCACTTCTGTCTTACATTTGATTTGGACAGATTATGAAAGTAACTTAAAAAAAAAAAAACACTGCCGCATTCTATAAAGCAAAGCCCCACTTAACGATTTTGTGCAGCATCTCAAACCAGAACATATAGAAAAGAGAGAAATAAACACAGAGGGATGGTTTATATGCTGACTAAGGCAGTGAGAGGTGATTCTGAGAGAGAATTGAAAAGTTGATCGAAGGTTTTCTTTTTCTCCATAGAGTTGAGACAGATACGCCGCGTTTACCTGCTTTGTCTGCCCCTTATATTGTTTTTTGCAAGGCTCAAAGAGCATCGCTACTTTATCCTTTTCTGTCCTCCCGACCTCCTATCATGGGTATTCTTTTTTTTTTATATTTCATTGATTGTTTTTGCATGAGTATGTCCCACTATACGCGATGTGCAACTCAAAAAGTTGACTCTTTACCTGTGCAATTAACAGATTTTATTTTGCATTTTCCCCCAAAGCGGACGCGTTTTACTTTATACCCACGTCTCTCGTCCTGTCAGACCCATGAAATTGCAGCTGAATTGCTGCGTAGTCCTACTAGACATGGAGTCATTCTCAGCCGACCTACCCAACCCCCCTTGTGTAAAACCATGTCGGGTTTGATCATCCCCATTAACTCTCCGTGAACGCTACACGCCACGACCTCGTCCAACACAATTTTCTGTCGGATCGCAAACAAAATCAGATTCGGTGTGTTCTGGCCTTTATATTTGCATGAAGAGCATAAATACTAATGAGAATTTGAAGTTAAGTGATTGATTTAAATAAAAATCTGCTGATTACCTTTGAGGGGATGCAGCCAACATTGAGACAGGTCCCACCCAGTGTGGCATTCTTCTCAACACAAACAGTCTGTCAAAGAACAGAAAAGGGTATAAAATTATAAAACAAATGATTAAAAAAAGTATTGTTTTTACATAAAATACACATCTACAATCAAAGGTTTCTATATAGTCAAATTAGCAAGAGATAAAAAAAAAACAATAATTCATCCATAGGGCTGCTCACCTTGAAGCCGAGCTGTGCTGCTTTGATGGCTGCAACATAACCGCCTGGACCAGAACCTACCACTGTGACATCTGCATCAACTACAGAGAAGCAACACAGGAATTTTTACTCCCAGCAGGAAACAGCACAGAGTCAAACTGGCTCTTATTTTCTTGCCTTGCATTGAATTGAATTAACAGTAAAATCAAGTTTTCAGCACATCTCACGTGTCTTAAAGTCCCCCTTTAACATAAAATAATAGGTTTGAAATGTGCTTACTTTCTGCTTTATCGGCGTATGTTCTGACAGACAAAGCTGTGGCCCCATGGAGTTTGAGGGGCAGATGGTGAGTCCTCTGTAGTACAAAGGATACTATGTTAAAAACATATACTTAATAAAACAACCATAAAAGTCCCTATTAAGTTTCAAGATAAACAATTCTCTGAGGAGTAGATTGTGCAATGGTTAAAAATAGGGTGTATATAATTTTCTATAAAGTTCTTGAATAGAGAAGCAAATAAAGTCTATATGCCTGTAATTAAATAGCTTTTAAAGGATTTTTTTTTTCAGTTAAAAGTTCTAAGCAGGAAATAACTCGTAGTTCCTTTTATTGTACATTTGAAATAAACATGTTTCACATTAAAACGGCTATTGGTAGATTGAGGTTGGATTCAGCTCAAACAGAAAGAATCTGTATTCCAAACGCAAGAGATTCTTGACGTATTCATCAGAATAAAGCATCACTCACGTTTTGAATATAATTTCTTTAAAATCAGCTACCAGTCCTGATAGAGAATAATTACTGTCAGAGAAGGTTGTTTGTCTTAAACATTAAACATATATTAACAAAGTTGTTCATTTTCAGCTCCATTACATCTCTGATTGACTTGGTCCTTCAGTTAATGCCAAAGTTATTAGTGTGTGTGTATATATATAGCGCTGGGTGTTAGATCTAAAGAAACAGGTTATTGCACAGGGTATTAAATAGTAATTGCACATTATACATTGTACACGTTAATGCCGTTTTAAGCACAACAACCAAATTGAGGTGTTGACTTTAGCTTCATATTATTCCCTAAAATAATACATCAGTGGGTTAATTAGTTATGTCCAGCCTCGGGCCTTTTAGCACCTAATGATCTGAGAATATCTGGTCTGTTTACAGACACTCCTTCAGGGGCTACCTGGCATTAACAGCACCGATCCGGCTTGTGTTGACAGCAATACGGATTATAACACCATTTATTTAATTTGATCAATAGAAATAATACGGAGAATTAAGTACAAACGAAAAATCTACACGTGGCAATGATAAAATCAAAAACGTGTATTTAACACTTAGAGGGTTGCAGGCTGAAACCTTGCTAATAAACAGTCTTATTAGCTGTTATTATACATGTGAACCTGACTTTAAACCATATAATTATCTACACGAAAATCAATAACATATTCATTTGTTATGTCCAAATTTTATGGAAGGCTAACATTTTTAATGGAAAGCATCAGTCAAAGGTTTTAAACATCACTTCGCTAGAGAAAGGTTGTTAGCTTAGCTGCTATCAAACCACAGGCCGCTAGTCCAAATACAGCTATAAACCCGCAGGCTGGACGAGCCACAAGTGTTTAAATTACAGTCTGAAAACACAATGAAAGAAGCTCATCCTTACCGTGGCAAGAGAGCGATAAAGCTGTGTGCAGCTCTGCATTTTGTCTGTGCCCCTAACAGGGAGGAAGTAACCTACAAGAAGGTTAGCCGAGCGAGGAAGGACTTATGAAATGCTATTCTTCTTTCTAAAGGACGTTTACGAAAAACTTTCATATCTAGTTAGCGCCCCCTCTGGATCGGAGTGGAACTCAAGAATGGCCGATGTTAAAACGCTAAAGACCAAGCCAAAGTTAGAAGAAAATACAAGTTAGTTAGCTCAGTTTGTCCAATAAAACACTGCGATTAACATCAGATCCACAAAGAAAACGGTCCAAATGGCTTATTATAAACCCTACCAGAATAGAATAGATTAGAATAGAATAGAATAGAAAATCTCTTTATTGTTCCACAATGGGGAAGTTCTGGTGTTTACAGCAGCAAAAAGATTATAAAGAAAATGGTCACACAAATGTGTACCCTGGAAGAGTCTATAAGTATAACATAATCGTGTAGAGTTAAAAAAAATTACAAATAAAATACTATACTGTAAAGTGTTTTAACAATATAAATACTGTGCACCTGGAGAATTAATAACCAATATACAGCTATGGACATTTTTCCCATCCTGGAAGCTCTTTCAATTCAAAATGTCAGAAATAGCATTGAGTTTGAGGCTTTATAGAGTGGACCAAAGCAAAGCCTTGTTTTGGATTAGAAAACATGAAATTGAACATGACGAACAGGTCCGCCCCTTTGGAATGGGGGTCATTTGGGATTATTGGATCTGAGTGTTATGTTTGATTGTGCGTCCGCATTACTTTTTTTTTCCCCACAGAGACTGTGTCTTGCGAATGGGGGAATAGGGTGGGAAGTTGTGATTGAGACTATCTATTTTTATTTATTTTTTTACTTGTCAGGTTCGGGTCTGAATTGCGGAGCCCAGATTAAATAATACTACTCATACTTCAGCAATAGCATAAAGGTGTTACTTTATTGTATCTCTTACTCTATATCCGTTGGTTGTGCTGTTTTTTTTACATCCCTTTGCAGGTGATGAAGCAGACTGAAGATATTTTATCGTTATCTCCCTTTTATCTCCTCTTTATTTCATCTTTTCTCCTTTTTCCTGTATTTCATTTCCTGTTCTACTGACATTGCAGTGCCCATATAATCTGTAATACTCCTTTTATAATTATAATAAAGCTATTTATATGCATAAATCAAGTGGAACACTATGGCAATAGCTGTACTGCTCCACTTGTGAAAATAAAATCTGTTGGGCTCTCTTTGGCGTTAAGACAATTATTGTTATTGCCACATTGCCGGAGAGGACACTGTTAAAAAAAAAAATTAAAAGGAATGGGGGTCGTTTGGTTTCTTTGTTACCCTGTTATACCTGAAATCTGTCTATGTCTCTGAAAGGGGGGATCTATAAAGGGAATTGTTGGCCTGGCTGAACAGGCGAGGTGTCTCCTTTTTCTTTGTTATCAGGCAGGTGAATTTTTCCTATCGGGGATTAATAAATTATTTATCTGTCTGTCTGTCTGTCTGTCTGTCTGGTCACAATGGAGCAAATGCTTTTTTTACCCCATAAAGACTTCTTGTGCATATCTGCACAACTCTGCCATTTCATACAATGACATGAAATTGTTGCTTGTGCAAGCTGATAAAGTGTAGTTGCATATCTGGAGAAAGATTTAAATAGAATCACACGGCACAACCCCTGATCGCACGCTAAACATCCTGAATGTTTTTGAGCTTTTAATAGGATTAAAGTAAATCCTCAGAGGATTCCGGTTGCAGCCCTCTGGTTCCTTCATCTCTGTCCTTCACAGAAAGCCAAGAGAGGATGAAGATTTCTCTGGATTCATGAAACTCTAAGACAAAGGTAAAACCCTTTTAAAGCACTTTTCCACTTCCAGATTTTTTATTCAAGTTCTAAGAACTTTCTCTATATTTTTTTATGTTTTTGTGCATAGCATTTCTTGAAACACACTAATAAAACTATTAGTGGTTCCCCTTGGATTGTGCTTCATTTATTTTACTAAATCATATGTAGAGGAGAACCGGATTATTGTAATATAATATCTACATACCATGGTAATTTCCTTAATTAGCTGCAGATTTCTCAAAGCAATTAGTTGATTTAAAAACTCTCATATTGTAGTTTTATTTTCCAAAAAACCCCTACATCACAGCAGTAATGTAAAGATATTGTTCTATGGATTTTGCCCTCAACTCAATCATCAGTGGTTCCAGTTTAGACTTGAGATAACAGATGATCTGATTGGTTATTTTATATGCTGTATGAAACATTTATTTATAAAATATATTTGCTTACATTAAATTAGTCGTGATCATTTAAATGTCTGAAAATACAACAAAGGATTGTCTTTAAGAGTTATTTTTATATATAACAGAAATTTTTGGTGTGTGTGATGTCATTAGCTAACCTAGAGAAGCTCATGTTGTGATTTCAATTACGCCTCCTTCTCTACCATTTTTGGGAGCATCAGAGTCCTTTACTGATACAGTCCATAGTGTTCTGAGAGGCTCAAGGAGACAAAAATATTTCTATGATGAAAGGTACTCATCATATAGTGATTTAATATCCACATTTAAATCAAATGATAATAATATTTATAATTAAAATTCGTTCAATTTAAAAATATTTCATTAATCCCTGATGGTGTGTTCAGACCAAACGCGGTGTCGGCTGTGTTTTCCGCGAGCCCTGTGGGAAGTTCACCGCTCTGCGTTTAAGATACACAGTTGGCGTGTTTCAAATGCGAAGGCTGTGTCCTCCGAAGGACATATTTGTCATCATACCTGTTCTGATTGGAAGACTCCTCTCTTAGTAACCCTGTATTACTACCTCAAAATATATTAAAGGTTTATTTTGGTTCCCTGAAAGTATAATATTTTAATTTTCATTCTTAATTTCTGTCGCTGTTATCTATGGATCTAGATCAGTCTCAATTTTCACAAATACACACTTGAGATTTATACATGCACAGGACAAGATCCACACACACACATACACACACACAAGACAAGATCCACACATGCACAAAATGATTCACGCAAGCACAAAAAAATCCACACACATGAAAAGATCCACACATGCATAGAACAATTTACACAAGCACACAAGATCCACACATGCACGGCACAACATTCACCAAAATATTTCTGGTCCATAAAAAAATGATAAATGAAATCAGAAAGTACCGGTGGTCTTTAAACTTCACTGCATTTATGTGTTGAATTTTGAGACTACCCTTACTTGCCTCGATACATAAGTGCATTTTTTAAAATAGGTAATGGTTTGCCACCAAACACAAAGCTCCCTTGTATAAGCTAATTACAAGAAAGAACTCTACGTGTAACTTACTCCCAGATCCCACATCCTCCGTCATCCCTCCTCTCCACCCCGCTCACATATGTCGTGTGGAGCACTTGCTCACTCATATTAATCACCGAGAACTGTTCTATCACTATTCCTATGCACATCACCGTCTCCAAGTATGTCTCCTCCATCCTTCACTGTCAAAATACAGAGCACAGCTATTTTTTGCTCCACTCCCTTCCGGCCAGGTCAAGATCCGCAATTGCATTTGCACCCAACAGTAGAAAGAATGTCGAGATTATCTGGTTTGTCAAATTAAAATATATTAACGACAGATGGGTCACTACAAATTAGAGCATAATTCTTATATATTCAAACAAAGAGGGTTCCATTATTAATTTGTAGTCATTTTGGGGGAAAACCTCGTCTGATTTGGAGAGACGGCATCCATTCCACTTTGGATGGTGCAGCTCTTCTTTCTAGGAATCTGGCCAAATTTATTAGTCCTCCAAAACCCCAACAAGCCATGGTGCAGACCAGTAAGCAGAGTCATAGTTTAACACACCTCTCTGCAGCTTCTCTACTGTTACCCACTCATTGTTCCATCCAGACAGTGTCTAGCTCATGACCAAAATCTAATAAAATAGAAAAGAATCCTAAAAGGAGTAAATCATTAAAATCTAATCACAATTCAAATAACTGAAATTAGGGAAAAAGTTAAAACGATTAAATGTGGTTTATTTAACATAAGATCTCTTTCTTCAAAAAGTCAGCTAATTAAAGACTTGATTTGTGATAATCACATGGATTTATGCTGTCTTACAGAAACTGGGCTGCAGCAAGAGCATTTAAAATATTTAAATTTTCACATACCCAGAAATTCTGGGCAAGGAGGACGAGTACAAACAATATTTTAGTCTGACTTACACATTAACCCAAAGACAGTTAATAATTACAACTCTTGAACATTTAACCCTTAGTTTCCCTCATCCAAATTTCTACTGTAAGCAACAAAACGTCTTCTTTTCCTACCTGATTTGGTGTTGAATATTGACTGGGTCATCATAGTGGGGGATTTTAACATCCATGCTGACATTGAAGGTGATAGCTTAAGTGCAGCTTTTAATGCTATCTTAGACACTGGCTTTGTTCAAAATGTGATTAATCCGACACATTTTCATCTTCATACTTTGGATCTGGTACTTTCATATGGCATTGGATGTGAAAAAATAACACTATTTCCTCACAACCCTGTCCTCTCTGACCACTTTTCAGTAATCGTCAAAATTACTTAAACACAGTTCTTCCTCTGGAACCTCAACATACCAGGAAGCAGATTTCTCATCTCGAACAAAATATTTATTTCATGTCGAGAGGCTTAAAAGTTTAATGAAATCCAGTCAAAACAGCTTCCAAGTGCGCCTCTCACAACTTCAAAATAAACTTCTTATCGCAAGCATCAATGAAGAGATGCCGAGTTTGGAGATAAAGAACAAACCAATTTTTTTATGATTATTCCTATTACAAAGACCCACAAAAAAAAAATAATGTTTTGGCAGAAACGTGTGTGATTGATGCTGATGGTGAAGTTTAATTATGTTGTATTAAATTAAGTGTTCATTAAAGCATTTTTTTCTCCCATGAATTAAATAATATAGAGGATGCTCTACTCCAGCTTCAAGGAAGTCAGAGCAGAGCAGAACAGGAGGAACTGCAGAGGCTGTAGGCTTTGCTTTGTGCAGGCAGTCTGGAACAGAGCGGAGGATGCGGGATCTAGGGATAAGTCATGCCACATGGAGTAGTTTCTTGTGATTGACTTATGCAAGGG